GGAACTGACTCCACAGCACATAACAACAACAACAGCAAACATTGTCCTTGGATACATGCTGCCCTTTTGCCTCCAATGGTGGACAACTCTATGGTGTGTGTACCTGCTAGTGGCATTGTCCCCTTATAGACCTAGCTATTATTTGACTGAAATTTAAGCCAGGAGGGTGAATTCAGTTCCAGACCAGAAGAGAGACCAAGGACCAGAGTCTTGGGGTTCTCCCTCTCTCTAGCTGACCAGTAAGCCTGGTCTTTTTTCCCCCCACTTTTTATTGTGAATTGAGTGAAGGTTTACAGACAAGACCATCAGTTTTACATTCAACAAATCCTACAGTTTGTTTCATCTCAATGATTGCAATCCCCTCCCTGCAACAACAATTGTCCCACTTCCTTCCTGTGGTTACCCATGCACAGATATCCTCTTTCAAACTCTTATATAATTACATAAATATATATTCCAGTCTTACCCCACACCCATTTAACCTGTGTCTGTGCCCATGTGATCCACACACAGAACACTGTTGTTCCAAGGTTGTGTATATTACACTATTTGCCTCTATCCCCATTAGCCCAGCATACCTCAGTGTGTCTGTCTCCACCTGTGTTCATCACTGCCCTCTCAACCTCCCTTTACTTGTATATTGTCTTCCTGTCACTCAAGCTTACCTGTGTCTACCTCTAACCAGTGTGTTACTCTCCCTTCTCTCCCACCCCTGGTAACTAACCACCAAAGATTTTTTTCTTTTAGCATGAAAGCTTTTCTTGAGTTTTTACAATAGTGGTCTCATACAATATTTGTCCTTTTGTGACTGATGTATTTCACTCAGCATAATGTCCTCTAGGTTCAGCCATGTTGTGAGGTGTTTCTCAGATTCATCAGTGTTTTTCAACATTGCATAGGATTTCATTGTGTATGTACCAAACTTTGTTTATCTGTTCTTCCATTGATGGGCAGTTAGACTGCCTCCTTCTTTGTACTATTGTGAATAGTGTTAGGATGAAAACCGGTGTGCATGTATCTACTCATATTCTTTCTCTTATTTCTTGTGGCTATATACCAAGTAGAGAGATTGCTGGGTCATATGCTATTTCTGTTTCCAACTTTTTGAGGAAGCACCACACCGTTTTCCACAGTGGTTAAACCATTTTACAGTCCCACAGCAATGTAGGAGGGTCCAGGTCTCTCTATACTTTTGCCAGCATATGTTGTTTTCTGCTTTTTTGAACTTTGCTGGGTGAGATGGTATCTCATTGTTGTTTTGATTTGAATCTCTCAAATGGATAAATGATCATGAACATTTCTTCATATGTTTGTTGACTGCCTGAACATCTTCTTTGGCAAAGTGTCTGTTTTGTCCTGCACCTATTTTTTTTGGTATTTTTTAAAAAAGTTTTTATTGTGAATTGAGTGATAGTTTACATGGGGAACATCAGTTTTACATCCATCTTATCGTATTTGTTTCTTGGAATGATTACAGTCCCCTCCTTTGTTTCTATTCCCTCTGTTTCTTTTTTTTTTTTTTGGATGGGATGTGCACCAGAACATTCAGGACTATATAATCATTCAAACAGTCAAAGGGTACACACCCTGCAAGCCTGCCCCCCTGGCCACCAGCTGTGCCCATTTTTTAATTGAGTTGCTAAGCCTAATCTTTTTGTTTGTTTGTTTATGATTTTGAGTTTTGTCCCACAGTTTCTGCCACTGTATTCCGGACTTTTTAATGTGGTTCTTTTCAGAGCAGTTGTTGGTGGAAGCTGGCTACCATCTAGTTCTGGTCTCAGGGTCATGGACACTGACGTTTATGTGGTCCATCAGTCCCTTAGACTAATGGTTTCCATCCATCTTTGATTTTCTTCACTCTTTTTCACCTAGTAGGAAGAGACCTATCATTACACTTTAGATGGATGGTCATGAGTTTTTAAGACCCAGTCGTTATTCACCAAAGTTGTTGTTAGGTGCCATTGAGTCGGTACCAATTCATGGCGACCCTATGCACAACAGAATGAAACACTGCCTGGTCCTGGGCCAACCTCACAATTGTTGCCATGCTTCAGACCATTGATGCTGCCATTTTGTCAATCCATCTCGCTGGGGTCTTCCTCTTTTTCTCTGACCCTCCACGTTACCAAACATGATAGTAGGATATATTATTGTCTTTGTCTTTGTGTACTATGTTAAACCAATTGATCATTGTGTCTCCTGGGACTATGGTCCCAAGCCCTCAGGCCCACATATTCACCTCAAAGTGTTTGGTAATGTCTAAGAAATTTTCATGATTTTGCCCCCTGTTGTTGTGAAGTGCCGTCAAGTTGATTCCAGCTCATAGTGACCCTATGCAGGGTGTCCGAGGCTATAAATGTTTGCGGGAGCAAGAGCCTTATCTTTCTTCCATGGAGTGACTGGCAGGCTCGAACGATGGACTTTTTGGTTTGCAGTTGAGTGCTTATGGAGTATTTATGGATACATTTGCAGCAAAAGTAACTGTTGTTGTTGTTAAGTGCCATAGAATCGGTTCGGACTCATAGCGACACCGTATAGGGTTTCTTAGGAGCTGCTGGTGGGTTTGAACCACTGACCTTGTGGTCCAGTGCTTATCCTATGGTGTCACAGCAGGAATCAAGGTAAATACCACGTACAAATATCCTGTCAAACATATACCTGTATTTTTGTGGATTTGCTATTCTTAAACACTCTCTTTTTATTGGCATAATGATATGTCTTGAAACATTTTCCACAGCCACAAATACAGATCCTTTTTTAATTGCTGCATAGCATTACAAAATATGAAAGCTTCATAGCTCAGGTGACAATTTCCTAATTGGTAGCACTGAAATTTGGAAATTGTTGGCATTCCACTTGTTCTATAAAACGGCTTATTCATTGGCCCAACCTGGTGGTTGTGTCTAGCTTTTTTGCCATTATGAGCATGACTTTCATGAACACTCTGCATCGTGTCTCATGTGAGTGTTTCCCAGGGGCAGATTCTGCGACAATGAATCACTGGCTCAGTGACTGGGCAGGTCGGCCGAGATGGAGTCTTTGGTTAAACACACAACAATTCTGGGAAACTTCAGCACAAAGGGACCTTTATCAGCAGGTTGTGGGGCAGCTAAAGAGCCCTGGTGCCTCAAGCAGTCAAGCACTCTGCTGCTAAAAGGAAGGGTTGGTGGTTTGAATCTACTTCCTCACATGGGTTCTCTATGAGTTGGAATTAACTAAACAGTACCCCAACAACAACAACCAAAAAATAGGCAACTCACAGGCTAGAGAGGAAAATCAAAGACCTGTGAGGCTCAGAACGGGTTTCTGAACCAGTCAGAACCAGAAAGTCACCACAGTGGCACCCAGTGTACAGCGTCCCAGGGACCCACTGCTGGAATGAATGGACCCCAGGCTTTGCTTTGGCCATTGTCTTATTCCACTCATGTCCTGGGAGAAGGTTGACCTCATGTCACAGTTGGGGGAAAGATTGGGTGGAAGGGACCTCTAGAAACTTCTGAAATGAAAGGACAGGGCATTTGAATTTTTGTCAAGATTACATACAATGTTATTGTGCACCATTGAGTTGATTCCAATTCATAGCTGCCTCGTGTGACGGAGTAGACCTGCCCCATGGGTTTCCTAGGCTGACTCTCAGGGCTTTCTACCATGGAGCCACTTGGTGGGATTGAACCATCAATCTTCTAGTGAGCAGCCACACCCTTAATCACTGGGCTACCAGGGCTCTTCTTCCTATCCCTGTTGTTAAGTGCCGTCGAGTTGATTCCGACCCATAGCGGCTCTTTATAGGGTTTCCAAGGAGCAGCGGGTGAACTTGAACCGCCAACCTTGCAGTTCAAGGAACTTTGCAGTCTGACACATTAGCCCACAGTGCCACACCAGGACTCCTTACCAACATTTAATCTTATCAGACTTCTAAGTGTTTATCAATTATTGTTGTTAAGTGCCATCGAGTTGGTTCTGACTCATAGTGACCCTGTATAAGGTTTCCATGGAGTCCTGGTGTGGTGCTGCAGGTTAATGTGCTGGACTGTAAAGTTGGTTTAAACTGCAAGGTTGACAGTTCAAGCTCACCAGCTGCTCCTTGGAAACCCTATATAGGGTAGCTATGAGTTGGAACCGACTCTATGGCACTTAACAACAACATAGGGTTTCCAAGGAGTGGTTGCTGAGTTTGAAGCACCGACCCTGTGGTTCAAACTGACCTTGTAGTACAGTGCTGTGTTCCACAGTGCCACACCAGGGCTCCGTTGATCAATTAGCGGGATTGAAAATATTTCTGTTTTCAACCTTCATTGAGGAAGCTGAACAACTTTCTCACATTTATGGCCACTTGGATTTTCTTCTCCAAGAGTTTCCTGTTCGTATCCTTTACTGATATTTAAAAATTAGTTTCTTTGCATTTAAAAACAGATTTATTTTAAGGATTCTTTGTATGGTTTTAATAGAATTCTTTAAATTTTAATTCTATAAATATACCCTCTCCTTTGGGGCTTTATTTATGGTGCCTTGGGAATTTTAAGTTGGGGAGGGATATGGGAGCTAGGTTCCTATACATTCATTTGAAAGAGACATAAAGAAGCTAATCTGACAAACTTCTTTTGTTTTGATATCCAGTGTATGACGCCATTGGCAAACTAGGCAGCAACGTTCTTAATGGGAATGTGGACAGACTGGGGTCTTACAGTGAGTGCCTCTCCACCCAGGCTCCCATGAGAGGCTTCCAAGGGCATTACTGCAAGCTTCACATACTGCAGGTGAGTTTGGGGACAGCCTAGAACACCCTCGAAGGGCAAGTGAGTCTCACAATATGGAAGACAATAGATTCCGCTGCTTGCATTTCTCACAGAAAAGAATCTATTAAGATGTTTCACAAAAAGTTAAGCCTAAATTTTAAACTGCTGATGAACCCCTTCCACATTGTGTGGACAAACCCTCCTGGACCCAGCTTCCCTGGGAATCCACAGCCCTGACCAGCGGCTCTTTGAGTTTGTGGGTTGGTTTTGATTTCTCCTTCTCAGATTCTTCCTGTGCCAGGATCTGTGGGAATTTTCCTCCACTTGGGGTCTCAGGGCTCTCACCAACCTCTCAGTTGAATTCCCTGCTCTGAATCTTCACCAACAAGGAGCAGCCCACTGCTCAGGATAGAGGGGGTCAAACCAAGAAGCTTGGAGCACTGTTCCCAAGTGCTGAGTCCTGTCTCACTGTCAGTTTAGGAATGCCAGAAGGACGGACTTCCCATTGCCCATTACCCTTTCTCAGAAACAGAGCTTCAAAAACATGAATTAGAACGTATGCTAATAAATAACTTCTATGGATATATTATTAAATTGTTGACCAAGATCATAAAACTCACTAACTCTCTCTCTTTTTAAAAATATTTTATTGTAAATTATGTGACCGTTTACATGGGAGAACATTAGCCTTACATTTATCCTATCATATATCGTTTCATTGCCATGATTGCAATCCCCTCCATGCATCATCAACCAATCAAAGGATATACCCTCCAAGCCTGCCCCCTGGTCATCAGCACACAGCCGCTCTTCCTCTCTGGGTCTAAAGTTCCCAGCCGTTCCATCTCTCCACATCATTGTCTCTGCCTCCATCTCTGGCATCACTGTTTCTCTGAGTAGGGTCCCATACTCTGCTCTTCTCCCTTGATGGGCCCAGGGTCCTCTGCTCCTGGACTGCAAAGTCAAACACTCACCTCCTTTTGCTACAAAATGTCCACTTTTACATTTTCAGGCCTCACAGTCAGTCCTGATAACAATTATTCACAAGAGTCCTATCCCCATCTCCTTTCATCAGCCCTGTCCAGAGAGATTAGATACTACTAAGTAGAGATTCTACCTTCCTCTGCGCCCTCTGTCACTCTTTTTAAAGTGAGTTCATCCTTTTGCTGTTAGAAGAGATTTGAAACAACACATTTTCTTATTAAATACAAAGACAGATTTTTATGCAGGTCACAAAATACTAAACCGCAATTACATGACTGGTTGACTGATAATAATTGTACAGGAATAATGATAAGAAATCCAATCTCTCTGATCTTAATTCTATAAAATAATCTTTTAGTTATTAATATTGAAGGCACGAAAATGAGCAGTCCAGCTCCATTTGTCCTGGTTAGAGTTACAGTAGTGATGCTTGAAGGGTTAATCATTGTGTATCCACTTCACATACTATTTTGAAAGCAGATGAATGATTTGGGTATCAGCGCGAAAGGTCAGCAAACCGCAATTATTAAGAAGCAGCAGCCCCCAAATTTTATTTATAATTTGATCTTGGCTTTATTGGTGGAGGCATTCTAATCATTGGCTTCATTTATTATTAAAATGTTTATTTGATGCATTGTGCCCTGCTATCAAGAAAGGGCAACTTGATAATTTCATTGAAAATTGTAGGGACAGCCAACTCCTGTTGTTATGTTGTTGTTGTTGTTGGTGATTATGTGTTGTTGTTGTTGTTGTTAATTGCCATGGAGTCGGTTCCGATTCATAGCGATCCTGTACAGGGTTTCCGAGGCTGTAAATCTGTACGGGAGCAGAAAGCCTCATCTTTTTCCCGTCGAACAGCTGGTAGTTTCCAACTGCTGACCCTGAGGTTAGCAGCCTGATTCATAACCACTATGCTACCAGAGCTTGATTATGTGTTAGGTGCCAGCAAATCCGTTCTGACTCACAGTGACCCCTGTGCACAACAGACAAACCCGGGACGGCCCTGCACCGTCCTCATTGTTGCAGCCACGGTCAGTCCATCTGACCAAGGCTTCCTTTTTCTCCCGGATCCCGTTTTACCTAGCGTGACGTCTTTTTCCAAGGACTGGTTCCCTCCTGAGAAAATGTCCTAACTATGTGAGACACCATTTCTCCATCATAGTTTTGAAGGAGCATTCTGCCTACTTCTTCCATGATGGCTGTTTGGTGTTCAGGCAGTCCATGGTATAATCACTATTCTTCGCCAGTACCATCGTTAGAATCCATCCATTCATCTTTGGAGGCAGTTGGAAATTCCACGGCTTGGGTCAGGTGCACTTCAGTCCTCAAAGTGACCTCGTAGCTCTTTCACACTTTAAAGAAGTCTTTTTGTATTTTTCTAAGCAAACCCAAAAAATCCTTTTACTTTATTTTACATTTTGAATAAATAATAATCACATTCAAAAATTTTAAATATTGAAAATGAAAATTCTCCCTCCTACCTCAGACCCCAGTCACCCACTTCCTTTTCCCACAGGTAAGCAATAGCATTCATTTCTATGTGTGCTTTAGAGAAAACGTATGTCTATGTAAGCAAACATAAAGATAAGCATTCTACTTTTTTTTTTTTTTATGGAGATGGTGTTTTCTGAACCTTTATATTTTTCTTTTATGCTCCTTTTTTGGTGATCTTTCCATAGCAGAACATACAGATATGAGAGTAATTTGCGGCTGTCCCTTTATTTATTTAGCTAGTCCCCCACTGATGAACTTTGAAACTGAGACATTGATGGATGGGCTGCCCATCAGGGACACCTCCCTGTCCCTTGTAATCATTTCCCACAGGCCCCCACTGTATGTTGGCCTCAGCTTCTGAGGCTGAGGGGTACTAAGAGACCAAAGCTAGGCCAGTAACCTGTACTGGGTAAAATCGTTCTATTTCTTTCTGTTTGGGGCAGTGACTGGGTCTGGCACTGGTCTGAAATTTTAATTTATTTTTTTAAGTTTTTATTGTGAATTGAGCTATAGTTTATATGGGAGAACATCAGCTTTACATTCATCCCATCGTATTTCGTTTCATTGCATGATTACAATCCCCTCCATGCATCATCATTCAACATCATTGCTGTTTGGATGTACACCAAAGCACTCAGGAATATATTATATAACCATTCAAACAACCAAAGGGCATACCCTGCAAGCCTGCCCCCTGGCCCCCAGCACACAGCCCCTCTCCCTCCTTGAGACTAGAGTCCCCAGCTGCTCTATCTCTCCACATCATCATCTCTGCCTCCATCTCTGGCGTCGCTGCTTCTCTGGATAGGGTCCCACACTCCACTCTTCTCCCTTGGTGATAAAGAAGTCTTTTGCATCAGATTTGCCCAATGCAATAAATCATTAGATTTCTTGACTTCTGCTTTCATGGATTTTGGCTGTGCATCCAAATAAAATGAAATCCTTGACAACTTCAGTCTTTTCTGTTTATCATAATGCTGTTTGTTGGTCTAGTTGTGAGGATTTTGTTCCTTTATATCATGATGTGATCCATACTAAAGATGGTTAGTGTTTGATCTTTATCAGTAAGTCTGCTTCACTTTCAGCAAGCAAGATTGTGTCATCTGCATATTGCAGCTTGTCAGAGAGTCTTCCTAACCCTGATGCCACGCTCTTCTTCATATAGCCCAGCTTCTTGGGTCATTTGCTTAGCATACAGATGGAAATAAACTCTTAAAGATCTGTAATAAGGGAGAGAGAGGCAATGAGGTTGAAGAGCCCAAACTGGTGGCTGCTTTTTAAATAATCAGCCACATTTTGCCCTGAAACATACTTCATATTTGTTCAAATATGAGTGTGTCTGATGTTCTGGAAATGCACTCAAACCACTCTAACTAAAAGTCATCTCGGAAGAAGTCAGAAAACTTTTCTTCTTTCAACATCTTCCTCTCCACTCTCCCAACCTGCTGAACTCCCGGGTGGTGCAGCAGCTGCCTTAACTAGCGATGATCATTATTTCTTGTGCAAGAAGCACAGAAACTGAAGAGGGTGTGTCTTTGTGTTTCACAGGATGGAGCTGACTACAGCGTTGGCATGTGTGTCCCTGACTCCTGTGCCGAAGAGGATGTAACTCTGATAGCCCAGCTGGGTAGGTCCCCAAGAGACCCCAGTGAAGCTTTTGTCTCCACACAGAGTTTGAGAAACCCCAACTCAGACGGAGCATTTTCCTCAGGGCTGACCTAGTTTTTAATCCTGACAAATCCAACAATTGGTGCTTAATGGAGTTTGGGGGTCTCTAGAGAGAATATGCAGGACGGGAAAGGTTCTCTGGGTGGTGCAGATTGGTTTACATGCTGGGCTGCTAACTAAAAGGCCAGAGAGTCTAATCCATGCAGAGGCACCTCAGAATAAAGGCCTGGTGATCTACTTCCCCAAACACCCGTCCTTGAAAACCCTAGGGAATGCAGTTCTACTCGACACCCACAGAATAACCATTGGCTGGAATCAATCTGATAACAACTTTATTTTATTAATTTTTTTTAGGTAGGAAGAAAGAGAAAGTAAAAAGGAGGTGGTTGTTGTTCGTAAGTGCTGTTGAGTTGATTGTGACTCATAGGGACCATGTATATGACTTCTAAGGAGTGGCTGGTGGGTTTGAACTGCCAACTTTGCAGCTAGCAGCCCAGTGCTTGTCCTACAGCACCACACCAGGCCTCTAAAGAAGAGGTGGTAGTTGACGATTTATGAAATGAAGCTTTTAGGTCTTTTTGCTCCCTCACAGCTGCGCGATTCCGCTGGAAAGAAGGGGTAGAAGGGGCAGTGTCGGGTTTCTACACCATCAGTAGTTGCTGCTGTGGCTTATGGGAGGCCATCTGACAGCTGCCACGTCCAGATGGCTGCCCTGAATTCAGACTGTGTGAAGTCAGTGTGTTGTAGTGGATTAGCGCTAAGAGCCCAGCATTTGGTCCTGGTTGTTACCTCCCAGCTGTGTGATCCTGGGCAAATCACTCAGTCTCCCCAAGCTTCAGCGTCTTTCTCTGCGCACTGAGGGAGGCTTCTAAAGTTCTGTCTGCATCTAGTTCTCTACAGTGGTACGCTACACAACCCATTTTAATTTTCTTGGAATCCTGGTTTCTGGGTCCATGGAATTGGGGTGACCCTCTAGGACATCTATCCTTTGGTGTCCTTTTGAGCCTTTGAGCCTAAATGAAGGAGCAGGTTGTTGGCTCTCTGGAGTCACCTTCAAGTCCAACTAGAGTCTTGTAGGCAGGTCTTTTAAGTTGTTTTGAAGAATTACCGATGTGCGGCCCACGTTGGAAGGCAGGAACTCCAGGGTCTGGCTCTTGTTGGTAAGCACTGAGGAGTTGATTCTGACTCATAGCAATCCTGTATAGGAGTGACTGGTGGGTTTGAACCGTGGACCTTGCAGTTAACAACCCCATATTTATTCTACATCACCACACCAGGATTCCAAGGTCTGATTAGAGACTGTGTTTTAGGATGGACGGTGTGTCCTTCATGACTGTGACCCTGAAACCTTGCTTGTGCTTTGAGGGCATCTTCTGAGAAACTAACAGAGTAATCTCCTATCTAACCCCCTTTCTTTGGAGTGTCTTTCCAAACACTGTCAGTTTTGAAGCTGATTAGAATCCTACCTACTTAACTGAATTCACTTATACTAGTTTTTGGTGTTTCTTGTGCATTTAAGTTTTTGTAATGGTCACTTCTAACTATTGTTTGTTGTTAAGTGCCATTGAGTTGGTTCTGACCCATAGTGACCCTGTATAGGGTTTCTCAGGAGCAGCTGGTGAGCTTGAACCACTGATCTTTCAGTTCAAACTGACTTTACAATCTAACGCATTAACTCACAGCGTCACAACAGAAAGAATAAATTTTATGGCACATGGTGACTGGTTCAATTACCTCTAAGTCTTTCAAATCTTACGAAGCAAGCGCTTTTGAAAACTTTACCACTCGTATCTTTTGTTTGTATTGTGGCCATGCCTCAAAACATGACTCATTACTAACAGTCTTCTTTAAAAGTGTTGACATTGTAGTTCATTTTCAATGTCCTCTGAATTGACCTTGATCTCTGCAGCATCAGGTACATTAGCTATCTTGTTAGCCAAATAGTTCATGTGCTGGTTTTTTGTTTTTTTTTTTAAATGTATAAAATTCAAATTTCCTACTCTTATTGGAAAAGTCATAAATATCCTAGAAACAAAGAAGCCTGCAGAACGGTTATTGAATCAGCATTTCCAGTGGATAAATGGCAATTCCTTAAAGATGAAGCTTTTTGCTCCTGTAAATGTGTTGTAGTTGTTAAGTGCAATCCTGCATAGGATTTCCAAAGAGTAGCTGGTGAGTTTGAACCATTGACCTTGCTGTTCAACTGACCTTATAGGCAAGTGCTTATCCTATAGTGCCATACCAGGACTCCCTAGATAGAGTCACTTAGAGTGGGGGCCAACTCCAAGTCATTTAACAACTATCCCCTAAGTCTAATGGACTAGTGTTCTTTATTACTTAAGAGATTTATCAAATAGTCTAACTTCCCTGTCTAATGCTCAGTTTAAACTAGCCTGTTGACATTAGAATGAAATTGAACATATGAAAAAGTCATCAAAAGATTGTTTTGTAAAAGTGGTGCTAGGTGAAGAGCAAGATGATGCTTCTCTTGGAGGAACTGGAGGGGAAAGGGGTGGGCCTGGTGAGGAGGCCCCGGTCTGGTGGACGTTATAGTGGAATCTTGGCTTCATTGCCAAGATGCTTTTCCAGCTTCTGCTCAGAGGATAGAATTGGGGCAGTTCTGCTTAGGGATAAAGGTCCTCTTGTAGAAAGAATTTGTCAGCTCTTCCTTCAAGCTTTTTAATGGAGTTGCCAGAATTTCCCCTACAGATGTGGAGACAACCAGCTCAGAAACATCAGGCAGAAATTGTTTTGTGCCAACTTTGCTCAACCAGAACAGTTACTGCTCTGGCCAAGAAGAAGTTAATCCAGTAGTGTTATTGTTAAGTGCCATGGAGTCAGTTTTGACTCATAGCGACACTGTACAGGGTTTCTGAGGAGCAGCTGGTGGGATTGAACTACTGACCTTGTGGACCCTATGGGTTAAACACAGTCCAATGCCAAAAGATTCTGGGCAGGGCAGAAGTTATTGCTTGGTCAAAGATTGAACAAAAGCCATACAGTGTGATTGCCATTGTTGTTGTTAGGTGCCACTGAGTCGATTCTGACTCATTTCAACCCTGTGTGTTAGGAGAACTGTCCCATAAAGTGGCTGTTTGAGCAAACCCAGTGACCCTGTGGGTAAGGATTAAACCATAAAAGTTCATATTCAGTGTATTTCAGCATGTTTGGTCTTTATTTCCCCATCTGTAAGACAAATAATATTAAAAATTAGCGTCACTGTTTTTTTGTCAAAGTTTTGTTTTGAAACAATAGATATGAAAACTTTTGGAAAAATGTAAAATATTATTGCCAAAGAAAGGATAGTTAACATGTTTGTGTTTTTTTTTCTCTTTTGTTAGATATTTTAAGATTCAGAAACGTCTCATTTTTGGCACCGCCTCTGTCTCTCTTCATGAGAAATTCTTCCTCCTCATCTGGACGGGTTGTGGCCAGATGCGCTGCTGGAATGTTTCCCCTCGACGCGTTTGCTGCCGTGTGTCTGTGAGTCTGGGCATCAGAGGTCCCTGCTTGGGGTGTGTCCATGCAGTTCTACCATCATCCGATAACTAACAGCTTTTAACCATTCTGGGTTTTGTTTGTTTTTTAAGCTTGCTAGATTAAGTGAAGGAATTTCAGAAGGATAAGCTGATTGTGCCTCTGCATGTGCATGAAGTTACCAGAAAATGCCTTTGTAAAAGAAATAATTTACACACAGATCTCTGATAAGATGAATAAAAAATAGATGATATGGATTTAGCATGGGGAATCAATTTTCTGTGGTTCTATTCTCTTTTGTATGTATTAATTTCTTTGAATGTTGGTAATGATTCAGGGACTCGGTAACCTCTCTCTCTCTTAATTCTTCCACCCTCTATTATTTTGCTGTATTCAGCACAGAACACTTTGAATCAGAATGCCTACATAAATGTTTATGTTTTTAAAATGTGGTGAATTCATATGTAACAAAACACTTGGCATTTCAACATTTTTTACATATACAATTCAGCATATTCATCATGGAGCTCAACCGAAACCATGATCCATTTCCAAAATTTTTTACCACCCTTAACAGAAACCACTTGGTTTTCATTCATTGATTGATGTCATTGCCTGTTTGCATGGAGATCCTATTTACCTTGAAGAAGAAAATGCCAAAAGATTCAAATGGAAGGTGGCCACAGGCAAATGTGATCGGATTTCAAGACCACTGAGAGATACATCCTATCCCCAGACACTCCTTGTTCCTCACTGCCCTGACGTCTGAATCTGTGGCCACTGAAGATTAGTTTAGCTTACTGGAGATAATATGTCTCTTAGCAATACTGAGGTGAGCTTGACCCACTATTTTTTGTTTGCATCCTGGATTTTTCCTAAGGGTTGGCTGCCATCACTCTTGAATTCTTTGTTGTTGTTGTTAAGTGTCATCGAGTTGGTTCTGACTCATAGTGATCAAGCATAGGCTTTTTGAGGCTTTACATCTTTGCTGGAGCAAAAAGCCTCATCTTTCTCCTGCAGAACAGCTGAGTCTCGAACTGCCAAATTTGTGGTTCTCAGTTCACTGCTTATCCGTTGTTGTTATTGTTGTTAAGTGAGTCGGGTTCCGACCCATAGCGACCCTGTATAGGGTTTCCGAGGAGCAGCGGGTGAGCTTGAACAGCCAGTCTTGCGGTTCAAATGAATTTGCAGTCCAGTGCATTAACCCACAGCGCCATACCAGGATAAGTTTATTTTTTCTGAAAACTCACTTATACTGTCCTTACTAGGGAATGCCCATGTCAGTTTCATCAGCCTTTCACCAGCGTCAAAGCTACCTTTTAAAAGTGGGAACCCATTTAAAATAATATTTACAAACCAAAATATAATAAAATAATATGCATTTATAAAACATTGGCTTTATTTACAATTGTAAAAACTTGATTATGAGACATTTTTTTTCTCTTTCAGCTTATCTGCTATTTGTGTGTTTTCTGGTTTTTGTTTTTTTGAAATCAGAGCTCAACACTTCAAGTGTCTTCCATGGGCCGATGGCTGACTGTGGTGATCTATTCATATTTGTGCTCTATCTGTGTGTGGGAAATGGGTTGTTAGTGATTTTAAACGTACATTTTATATATGGAGGATATCACTCTTTAATCATATCAGCTGCAAATAGTTTTCTCAGTGTTTTGATTGCTTTTCTTCTTTGTATTTTTTTTTTTTTAAATATATATAGCTATGATTTGTTGTTGTTGTTAGGTGCCATCGAGTCTGTACGGACTCATATGTACAACAGAACAAAACACCGCCTGGTCCTGGGCCAACCTCAGTATCGTTGCTCTGCTTGAGCCCAGTGCTGCTGCCACTGTGTCAGTCCATCTCCTTGAGGGTCTTCCTCTTTTTGGAGTTTAGTGAAAATCATTTAGAGAAATGATTTCTTTCATTATTTTTTTCTCAGAAAGCCATTCCCCTACTCTTAACACTACTAATTATGGACCGTGATCCTCAGAGGCGCTTTGGATGGCTGTATTTGTTACTGGCTGATGCTTGTGTATCTTGCTTTGGTGTTGGTGGGAGGTAGGGCTGGGTAACTGGGCATCTTTTTCTCACAGGTTTGTCACCTTGCTGGGCCTTGTCTTGCCGCTGGCTGGCACTGTCTACGTGGCAGCTGTGGGGGGCACATCAGATCACAGGACACCACCAGCACTTGGGGCACTGTCGGTCAGTTACGGAACTCTGCCATTAGGAGCGATGGAGAGAAAGGAAAAGAGGCAACGATGGATGGATTGCCTAGCCCGTTTGTCCCTGTTTGCAGCCTTGAGTGGAACACAAAGTAAGCATTAAACTAAGGTCCCCCATGAAAGGTGGCTTTAATGAGGACACAGTTGGAAAATCATGTCTACAGCGCTGGAGTCCAGCGTGGAAATGTTAGCCAAAGCTGGTTTCTGCGCCGCACACCCAGCCTTTGGTTACATCCATACATGAAGACCATGTGGTGGGAATGCTTGCTTTCTTGGGTCCAAACATCCAGAGTTTTGTGTTGATCTAGGTTGAAACAGGGCTTGGGCTTCACTGTTGTTGTTGTTAAGTTTTTTTGAGTTGTTTCTGACTCAAAACAACCCTGTGTAGGATTTTCAACACCAATCTTGCTGCTAGTAGTTCATTGCTTACCTTACAGAATTACACCAGGATTCCAACTTCTATAGGAAGTGCTCATAATCAGTTACTAAGGTGACTCATAGAAGCTGCCTGATCTTACAGAGGTCCGTGCTTTACATATAAGCCCCCAGACATGGGGTGGTGGGGGAGTGTGTAACAAGACTGTTTAACACACAGCAGCATGCTCCCCGACATGGTCTTGTGAGAGGGAGGAACTCGGTGAGCTATGCTGGGCTTTAGTGAAGAATCAACAGCATTACCTTCATTTCTACCTGCCAATGGAGTCCTGGTTAATGTGCCAGCCTGAAAAATCATTTTGAACTGCAAGGTCGGTGGTTCAAGCTCATCAGCTTCTCCTTGGAAACCCTATACAAGGTCGCTATGGGTCAGAATCAACTCGACAGCACTTAAAAACAGATGGAGTCCTGGTTAATGTGCTGGACTGCAAAATCATTTTGAACCGCAAGGTCGGTGGTTCAAGCTCACCAGCCGCTCCTCGGAAACCATATATAGGATCGCTATGGGTCAGAACTCTCTTGATGGCACATCACAACAATAACATATGACAACATAGAATGTGCATTGTTATTATTGTTGGCTGCCACCAACACATGGCGTCCCCACGCACAATGGTAGAAATGCTGCCTGGTTCTACACCGTGCCCATGATCGGTTGCAGATCTGATGGCTGTGACCCATAGGGTTTTCATTGGCTGGTTTTCAGCAGTAGATTACCAGGGCCTTTCTTCCTAGTCTGTCTGAGAATGGAAGCTCTGATGAAATTTGACCATCATAGTGACCCAGCTGGTATTTGAAATACCAGTGACATCGTTCCCAGCATTGTAGTGATAGTCAGCCTAGCACAATCTATACACTGACCACTGGAGAGTTGCAAACTTTAGGTACCTCACCCCAGGCAAACCTCACCATCTGGTCTGGATGGAATTCATAGGTAGGACAAATGGTTAACATCAACTGCTAACCAAATGGTTGGAGGTTCGAGTCCACTCAGAGATGTGTTGGTAGAAAGTCCTGTTGATCTGCTTCTGGAAGACCAGTCTTGGAAGCACAGTTATGCTTGGGCACACGTAGACTCTCCGTGAGTCAGAATGGACCTGACAACTGTATCTTTATCATCTGTATACTAAGGTTTGTTTTTAATTCAGCCACTTATAACTGGGACTTCAAAACAGGGACTTTCCATGTTCAATTGCTGTGGCAATTTTACTGGGTTCAATATCACCACCGGTAGAATAACCCATTCCTGAAGGTCTGGAAATCAAAACCAAGATGGAACACCACTACAATTCACACCTTTCTCTCTGCTTTTACTTTCATCAGGGAGTCAAGCCAACATAAGGCCACCGTGTCTTCTAGAAGTGTAGAGCCAAACTGGGTCTCTTGGATTCTTGCATTTGTTATCTTCCATATAATCATGGAAGTTTTGGTGTGGCAATGTAGGGCAAGCAATGAACTGGTAACCAGAAAGTCGGCAGATCAAACCCACCAGCCTCTCCTCAAAAACCTTATACTGGATCTCTCTGAGTTGGATCTGACTCAATGGCACTAAACAAATAAAATATAATCACTGCATTTGATTATAGTGGCCCCCTGTTACACAAGGCTGGCCTTTGCTACTGAGATGAGAAAAAGAAAAGTTTATGTCTGAGGATATTTTCATGAAGGAAACAGTTGTGGATTCAGCAGCTAGAAGTTGACGTTTTTGCCATATGACCTTTGACTTACAGTGACCTCACAGGAATAGTGACTGAGGAAATCAGGAGGGGACACATGGTGTTTTAAAAACAAGGTGATGCGCAGTGGTTCCCAAACTTTGGAGTACGTCAAACACAGATTGCAGGGCCCACCCCAGAGGTCCTGAGTCAGGGGTCTGGGTCTCGGCCTAAAATGTGCACTTGGAATAAGGTTTCAGGTTACACTGAAGCAGTTGGTCCAGGGACCCCACTTTGAGAACCACTGGCCATGTGTGTATTCTGTTCGATCCTCTTGGTGACCCTGTGGGGTGCGTGGTTTATCAGACTTTCCATTTGCAAACCACCTAAATGTCGTTGTTGTTGTTAAGTGCCGACAAGGCAGTTTCCACTCATAGAGACTTTGTATAGGGTTTCCGAGGAGTGGCTGGTAGGTTTGAATTGCTGACCTTGAAGTTAGCAGTCCAGTGCTTATTCTATAACACCACACCAGAAATAGGGCTTATTGAAGCAATAGTTGTTAGCTTGCATCAAGTTGGCCCCCACTTCATGGTGACCCCATGGACGACAGGACCAAATGTTGCCAGTCCTCCTGGCTTCAGATCCGACTATTGTGCTCCAGAGGGTTTTCATTGGCTGATTTTCAAAAGCCGATCTTCAGGTCTTTCTTCCTAGTCTGTCTGTCAGTCTGTAAGTTTGGCTGAAACCTGTTTAGCATCATAGCAACACACACACAAGCCTCCAGATGTCTGCTTGTGATGTGCACTAGCCGGGACTTGAACCCAGGAGTCCTGCATGTTGCTGTTGTTAAGTGCCGTCATGTCGTTTCTAACTCATGCAACCCTGTATAGGGTTTCTGAGGAGGAGTTGGTGAATTTGAACCACCAACCTTCTAGTTCAAACTAACTTTCGGTCCATGCTTTATCCCACATCAGGACTTCTGCATGGGGCAGGGGTAGAGTGGGAATTCTTCCACAGAACCACCTCTGTCCCTAAACAAAGTATTAGGAATCACTGTGTTCTCATGAGTGCATTTTCTGGGTTGGTCATGACTTGAAGTGATTTAGAAGCATTATTCCATTTGTTCTTCACATTGGCCCTAGAATTATAAGATCTATTTTTAGTCTCATTTTGCAGTTGTGGAAGTTTAGATACAGAGAAGTTAATGAACATGCCAGTAACCACAGAACAGGTAAATGGAAGCCAGATTCAGAGCCAGGGGGGTCCAATGCAAAGCCCACATCCTTCACTGTGGTACCACCTGCCACCTGCCCCTGTTGTCAAACCGGCACCTTGACCAACGTTTGAGAGGCTCCATGGGAAATCACTGGGTGGCATCAAAAACCCTGTGGGCTTTTTGTGATGCTTACACTCCCCGTCCCTAACGCTTTATAGAAGTGATGGTCTTCCTAGGATCTGGACTTGGGCAGAATGTTCTGTGTAAGGTATGTGGAGCACCAGACTGAGGTCTGTTAGAGTCAGGATTCCAAGGGGAGGAAGACTAAGAACAAAGAAAGGTTCACAGATGGGTCAAGATGGAGACCAGAGTTGGCCAGGCCAGGAGTAGAGCGGGAGAGATTTGAGGTAACTCCCAATGCCACTGAGGAGTGTGTTTTTGGCTCTTGTTTACGTGACGGTGTGTGGGCAGGTCTGGTCTACAGGATGGAGAGTAAACACCTTTGATCTTTTTCAGGGTTCTTGAGTGCCGTGGACCAGACCCTGAGATGTTGTTCTTGGCAGAAGAACATGCCTGCCATCTGGACTACAAAGACCCCAGCAAGCTCCTACCCCACACTGGATGGTATCCGAGTCTTGAGTCTTCTCTGGATTATTTCTGGACACACCAGCCAGATGACCGCCTGGCTGTCTTTGGGTGAGGAGAGTTGATGAGTCTCCACGTGAAGGAAGAGTGTGGTGTTGGGTCCTGGAATGGAAGGCACACCACATGCTCATGAACAGCTCTCTCTTCTACAGTTTAGGTCCCCTCAGTGAGTTTGCCACCAGAGTCCAGCGCTTGCCTTACTCATCCTCAGTAAAGCCAGGACTCCCTGGATGATGCAAACAGTTAGTGTACTTAGCTGCTAACCAAAAAGTTGCAGTTTGAGTCCCCAAGAGAAGACATTGAAAACCTTATGAAGCACAGTTCTACTTTGACACACATGCGGGTCACCGTGAGTCAGAATCAGCCTGACCAGCACCTTGTTACCCAGTGAATAGGAAGACCCGAGTATTGTACTTTCAAAGTCCAAAGGGCTGGGTTCTCTCCCATCACGGTGAATAAATCTAGAAACTATTTTTTTAATCCTCCCTGAAAAACAGTCCAGCATAAATTAATATGATGAACAAGTATTAAGTCTCTCCACCACTTGCCTATCAGTTTGTTGAAGTGTGGTGGCTTTCATGTTGCTATGATGCTTTCATGTTGTTATGGTGCTTTGGCACAAGAATTTTCAAGCCCAGCAGGGTCATCATGGTGGACAGCTGTCAGCGGAGCTTCCAGACTACAATCAGACTGGGAAGAAGGACCAGTGATCTACTTCTAAAACAAAATGGCCCGTGTGAATCTTACAGATATCAGTGGAACATTATTTGATACAGTACTGAAAGATGAGTCCCTCAGATTGGAACGTATTCAAAATATGAAGAAAATTTGCCTCTTCAAAGTAAACTTGACCTTAATGACATGAATGGAGCAAATTTGCTTCTAATTTTGAGTTGTGCAAACAACCATTAATAATTGGAATGCAGAATGTACAAAGTGTGAATCTGGAAAAATTGTAAGTTGTCAAAAATAAAATGGAATGCATAGAAATTCATACCCCAGGCAGAATGGACTGGTACTGGTCACTTTGAATCTGATAATCATATGGTATACTCTGCTGGGAATAATAAATTGAAAAGGAACAACACCGTGTTAATTGTGAAAAAGAAAACATTCTAAGATCTGTCTTGAAGTACGATACTGTCAGTGATAGGACAATATCCATATACCTATAAGGAAGGCCAGTTAATTCAACTATTATTTAAATTTATCTGCCAACCATTAACACCAAAAACGAAGACTTTTAGAATTTTTACCAGCTTTGGAAGTCTGAAATTAATCAAGCATATGATCAAGGTGTATTAATAATTACTAGTGATTAGAATGAGAATTTCGAAACAGAAGAAGGATCATTGTTTGAAAATATGACGTTGGTGATAGAAACGATACCAGAAATCTCATGATAGAATTTTGCAAGACAACAATTTATTCATTGTAAATATCTTTTTTCAACAACATATATAATGACTATACACATGGATCTTGCCAGATGAAATATGCATGAATCAAATCAACTTCATTCATGGAAAGAGACATTGGAGAAGTTCAATATCATCACTCAGAACAAGGTCAGGGATCAATTTTGGAACAGACCATCAGTTGTTTGTATGCAAGTTCAAGTTGAAGGTGAAGAAAATGAAAACAAGTCCACAAGAGGCAAAGTATGACGTTGAGTATATCTCACCTAAAGTCCACCTCAAGAATAGATTTGATGCACTGAACACTAACTAATGAATGAAGACCAGCCCTATTGTGAGATGACATCAAGCACATTATACATGAAGAGATCAGAACGTCATTAAAAAGACAGAAAAGAAAGAAAAGATCTCTGGATATCATAAGAAACTCTGAAACTTGCCCTTGAACATAGACATGCTAAAGTGAAAGGAAGAAACAACGAAGTAAAAAAGCTGAACTGAAAATGCCAGTGGGCAGCACAGAAGATGAAATAAAGTAGGGAAATGGGCAAAAACCAAATAGATGGAGGCAGAGATGAGGACATGGAGAGAGGGAGCAGCTCAGGACTCTGGACTCCTGGAAAGAAAGGGACTGGGTGCTGGAGACCAGGATGCAGGCTTGCAGAATGTGCCCTTTGGTTGTTTAAATTATTATATACTCCTGAGTGATTTTGTGTACACCCCCCTTCCCCACCAAAAACAAAACAAAACAAAACAAAAAAAAAATGCCAGAGGGAATGGAAGCAAATCCTGTTGAATGATGATGCACCGAGGAGATTGTGATCATTGCAATGAAACGATGGTGTAAAGCTGGCTTCTCTCACGAAAATATCACTCAGTTCACAATAGAAACTTAAAAAAATATTTTCAAGTACTGAGATCTAAAAATTAAAGCATGCTCTACATAAAAAAACAACACCCAAACCAAAAAACAGACAAACCACCAAATGGGAAGCCCACCCAGCATTTTTCAAACTGAAAGAACTGAAGGGAAAGTTTAAGCCTTGAGTGGAAGTATTGAATGATTCCATGAGCAAAGTATTGAATGACACAAGAAACATAAGAAGAAGATGGAAGGAATACACAGAGCCACGGTGCCCAAAAGAATCCATTGATGTTCAACCATTTCAGCAGGTAGCCTATGAGCAAGAACCCATGGTATTAAAGAAAGAACGCCAAGCAGTGCTTAAGGCATTGACAAAACTTTGGAAGTGTTCACTCATCTATACCAAGAAATGGGAAGACAGCTACCTAGCCAATCAACTGGAAGAAATCCAGATTTGTATCCATTCAAAAGAAAAATGGTCCAACAAAATGTAGAAATTATCAAACTATATCATTAATATCATATGCAATGAAAATTTTTGTGGTAATAATTTTTTTAATGATCACAGCAGTATATCAACAGGAAATGCCAGAAATTCAAATTGGATTTAGAAGAGGAGGTGGAACAAGGGATACCATTGTTGATATCAGATGAATCTTGGCTAAAAGCTTAGAATACCAGTAAGGTGTTAACCTGTGTTTTATTGACTATGCAAAGGCATTTGACTGTATGGATGACAACAAATTATGGATAACATTCCTAAAAACAGGAATTCCAGAACACTAATTGTGCTCATGAGGAGCCCGTACACAGACCAAGAGGTAGTTGTTCAAACAGAACAAGGGGATACTGTGTGGTTTAAAATAAGGAAAGGAATGAGTAAGGGCTGACTCCTTTTACTATAGTTATTTAGTATTTATGCTGAACAAATAACCTGAAAAACTGGAGTATATGAAGATGAATGCAACATCAAGATTGGAGGAAGACTTATTAACAATTTGTGATATGCAGATGACGCAGCACTTACCGGATGAAGATCAAAGACTGCAGCCTTCAACATGGACCACACCTTAACATAAAGCAAACACCAAGTCTCACAGCTGGACCAATAGGCAACATCATGACAAGCAGAGAAAAGATTGTCAAGGATTTCATTCTATTTGGATCCACAATCAATGACCACGGAAGCAGCAGTCAAGAAATCGAATGACACACTGCATTGGGCAAATATGATCCAAAAGATCTCTTTTAAAGTGTGAAAGAGTAAAGATGTCATTTTGAGGACAAGCCAAGTTATTTTCAATTACCACACATGCATGTAAAAGATGGACAATAAATAAGGAAGAGTGAATAATTGATGCCTTTGAATTATGGTGTTGAACAAGAATACTAAATGATCCATTGGCTGCCAGAAGAACAAACAACTCTGTCTTGGAAAACGTCCAGCCAGAATGCGTCTTCTCAGAATCAAGGATGGTGAGACTTTGTCTCATGTACTGTGGACATGTTACCAGGAGACAGCAGTCCCTGGAGAAGGACATCATGTTTGGTAAAGTTATTGTTGTTAAGTGCCGTCAAGTCGGTTCTGACCCATAAGGTTTCCAAGAAGCAGCTGGTGAGCTTGAACCACCAACCTTGCAGTTCAAACGACTTTGTAGTCTGATGCATTAACCCACAGCTCCACACCAGGACCCTGCTTGGTAAAGCCTAGGGTCAGAAAAGAAGAGGGAGACCCTCAAAGAGCTGGATTGACACAGTGGCTGCACCAATGGGCTCAACATGGCACCAGTTGTGAGGATGGTAGAGAATTAGGCAACGCTGCATTCTGTTGTACATGTGGTCATTATGAGTCAGAACCTACTCACTAGCACCTAACAGCAACAATACACATTAAATCAGTGATTCTCCACATTCTCCCTGTGGCTTTATTCCTGAAACAGTCCCATCATAAGAATGGTACTCTCTGGCTATTTTTCTTAACCAGGGACCAAACACACATATCAGAATTGAGGAAAGAAGGAATCTACCCAGGGTTGTTTGAAGACATTTCACGGGTGAGTTGCCCCACTAGGAACAGGTGAGGCTGCTATCGTTCCAGAAGAGCCGTGGAGATTGTGTGATCCCAAAAAAAGCCAAAGACTTCATTACAATCAGGGATCTCAGTCACTTTTTTTGACTCCCAATCTAAGTTTTCCTCTTTTGGAAATCATAGCGGCTCATTAAACCCTCCCAATAGAACTATAGAAAGTTGAGGGTATTCATATTTATTCTGGAAAAAAAAAATCAACCACATGGATTTTGTCTATTAAACCTGAAGACACTGCTTTTCATGTTTGTTACAGATAATGTGCTTGAGTGGAAAGACAGAACGCTGAAAAATCCTCTGTACCTTTATTCTCGGAGTGGTCCCTACTATCTTGGGGTTGATACATTTTTTTTGATCAGGTACTAAAATCAAAGTATGTTTTGTCAGCTATTGGATTTCTTGTTAGTTTGGGGGTGTATATATGTGTTGTCAAGGGGCCCTAGTGATATAGTGGGTTATATATTGTCATTCTTACTATTTCCACTCCAAATTGTTGTTTCTCAAAGGGCAATCTGTTGTTGTTAAGTGCTGTCAAATCAGTTCTGACCCATAACAACTCCGTATAAGGTTTCTGAGGAGCAGCTGAGCTTGAACCGCTGACCTTGTGGTTCAAACCAACTTTGCAGTCCAGGGCATTAGTCCACAGTGCCACGCCACCAGGACTCTTAAATCTAAAAATTTCGTGTGACATTATCTTTATTGCGATGGTCTGGAACCAAACACAGTAGCTCGGAGATGCGTCTCTGAAGACATTCTCCAACATGCCCATCCTTCCTGTAGCCTGCCTAACGCTCACAGCCTTCGTTTGCACAGGGAAATACCCTTGTGCCTGTAGGAAACACAGTAAGGATTCCAGGTATACATGCCAGAAGATTGGGAATCAAACTTACCATCAATTTATAGCTATTGGGCATGAGCTTGCTTACTTAACTGGGCATTCTGGTTGATGTACTGGCTGAGAACCTGGTGATCTTGCGCAGATGCTGCACAGTCCCCGAGTCCCAATTTCACTACGTGGTAAACAGGAATAATATCGGGCTGCTTATCCATCTATTTGATCATGCACTCTGAAAATATGTACTGCAAGGTATTTTGGTATCCAGCTGGAGAAGCAAAATTAACTCTATTGAGAGTGCTTAGAAAAGAATGCAATACAACACAAAGGGAAGGCTTTGACATTACTGTTTCAAAAGATCAAGGTGGTAGGTGAATAACGTTCCTCAAATGCTTCTGGCTCTGCCTTCCAGGCACCTGGGAATGTTGCAATTGGATGGGTCATGTGGCTACCTCTGGATAGTGAATAGTGAATGGGAATGTCCTCTGTTACTTCCAGGCCAGAGCATTTGATTGCTGGTTTGAGGCCTTCCAGAACTCTCTTGTCCCCTACCATGGTCACTGGCAAAGGTTCAGATCCTGTCTGCTCCTTCAGCCTGGGCCCCAGAGTGGAGACATCAAGCCTCAGGTGACTGGCCGTGAGCATGAAGCATAAACAAGATTCGACAAAAAAGAAAACGATTGCTGCTTTAAGACTAGGCAGTGCTTTGTTACTGTTGTTGTTAAGTGTTGTCAAGTCAGTTCTGACTCATAATGATCCCATGTAGGGTTTCTGAGGAGTAGCCGGTGGGTTTGAACAGCTGACCTTGTGGTTGTTGTCGTTAAGTACCGTGGAGTCTGTTCCGACTCATAGCGACCCTGAACAGGGTTTCCGAGACTGTGAATCTTTACGGGAGCAGAAAGCCTCATCTTTCTCCTGTGGAACTGCTGGTAGTTTCGAACTGCTGACCTTGAGGTTAGCAGCCCGATTCGTAGCAGTCCAGTAATGATCCTGTAGAGCCATACCAGACAACCTTTGTTACGGTAGCAGAACTTACATCATCCTGTTTGACACAGGCATATTTTCCAGTCATAAACTCTGTTACTGACGTGTCTTCCTGTGTGGTTCTTCTCTGCCTCTCTCACCCAGTGGTTGGCTAAGTGCGAGGTCATTTTTAAAGATGCATCAGAATTCAGACAGAGGAGCAACCCCTAAACTCATACTCAGATACTTTTTCAGTCGCCTGATAAGGTAGGTTTATAGTTATATCATTTCCTGTTCGTTATTGTGACGTAGCAATCTATTGCACAGTAAAACCTGTGAAAGCCAGAACTTGTGGAAGGTGGAAACCTGTCAGAGGAAGAAAATTCAAATGTTTTCCATAAAACAAGTGATAGGACACACTTTGTCAAAGTGGAAAACTTGCAAGACCCGGAAAAACAGGGCAAGCCCACCAAATTCCATCTGTCATAACTTTCACTGTATTTCAGTCTTTAACGCACTCTTGAAGGTTTGTTTTTTTTAATTGAGAGAAATAATTTTATTCCATAAATGCAGTTGGTATTTGCTGATTTGTTGTGGTTAGGTGCCATCAAGTTGGTTCTGACTCAAAGTGATCTTATGCACAAGAGAACCAAACACTGCCCAGTCCTGCACCAATCGCATAATTGTCGTAATGCTTGAGCCCATTGATGCTGCCACTGTGTCAATCCATCCTGTTGGGGGGGTCTCCCTCTTTTTTGTTGGCCCTCCACTTTACCAAGCATTATGTTCTTCTCCAGGGAGTGGTCCCTCCTGATAATATGTCCAAAGTATGAGGTGAAGTCTGGCCATCCTGGCTTCTAAGGAGCTTTCTGGGTGTACTTACTCCAAGACAGATTTATTTGTTCTGGAAATCCATGATATTTTTGATATTTTTCTCCAACACCATAGTTCAAATGCATCAATCCTTCTCTGGTTTTTCTTACTTAACGTGGTTCAAATTCCGCAAGGATAAATACCATATCGTTTGTTCTGGAAGTCCACAATATTTTTAATATTTTTCTCCAACACCATAATTCAAATGCTTCAATCTTCTCCAGTCTTCTTTATTAATGTAGTTCAAATTCTACAAGGATGAATATCAAGGAAACAAGTATCTTCTGCTAACAAAACTATCTTTACTCCTCAATTTATGGGCAACATATTTGGACTCAATGTTCTACCCTTCAATAAGAGAGTTTTATGGTTCCTTGAAATTACTACCGCTTGGAGACTGTAACTAAGAGTGCAAAGCCATACTCTAACACACTCCCATCCCTCCCAACTCTTGTTCAACACACAGAGTCTCCTCTGCAACAGGAAGTATGTGGATGAGGGTAAAAATAGAAAAAGGTACACCCATGAAAGGGGCTGGCTGAAGGTGGGTCAGATGGTCACTGTGCTGCCGGTGGCAGGGTGATGTGTCCTTTAGGAATGGGTGAAGCAGAAGGGGTTACAATACTGGGACAGAATGCGGAATTCATGCGTGATGGCAAAGAGCCAGTCACATAATCAGACAGTTGAATTTTCAATGGAAATTTCAGCTCATGGAATCTGACCTTTCCATTTGTTCATTTCCTAAATTGGCTCTCTGCTGAGCTGCCTGAGGCTGGAAGGGAAATGTTGACACAATCTTCTGAGGTAGGACAACAGGGCTGTCACAGCTCTCTCTGTAGGCAGCGTGATGAACTTGCGTCCTGGACTTTGAGTTCCTTTTCCAACTTTTCTGTGCATGAGTTTTCTCCTCTCTCAAATGCTGTTCTTATAGCATAGGAACGCTTGTGAGCATTCAATGATATATAATGTATTCAAAGGACTTAGAAAAAGTGCTTGGCACATAGGAATCCCCCAACAAGGATATTGTTAGGTGCCGTCAAGTCGCTTCTGACTCATGGTGGCGGTGATGTGCTGTGGAGTTGGACCGACTCATAGCTGTCCTATACAGGGTTTCCGAGGTTGCAAATCTTTATGGGAGCAGAAAGCCTCATCTTTTTCCTGCAGAATGCCTGGTAGTTTCAAACTGCTGACCTTGAGGTTAGCATCCTGACTCATAACCACTACGCTCCCAGAGCTCCTTGACTCATAGTGACCCCTGTGTCCAACAGAACAAAACACCACCGTGTCCTACACCGTCCTCACAATCACTGCTGTGCTCGAGCCCATCGCTGCTGCCACTGTGCCAAACCATCTCATCGGGGGTCTCTGTATTTTTCGCTGTCCCTCCACTTTACCAAGCAAGATGTCGTCTTGAGGCATTAGTCCCTCCTGATAATGCGTCCAAAGTATGAGAGACAACGGCTGGTCATCTTGGCTTCTAAAGAGCATTCTGGTTGTACTTCTTCCAACACAGATTTGTTTGGACTTCTGGCAGTCCATGGGACCTTAAAAATTCTACTCCAACACCGGAACTCAAATGCAACAAGGACAAGTTATTGTTATTTTTATTGCTACTTTGGCTGTGCGTACTTTTCACTTTTCCTTCAAATATGCTAAGAATGAGGATGAGCTAAGAACTAGCCCTCTGCTGATGTCTCTCTATCACACCTTAGTGGTTTCCTCCAAGCTCCATCAAACCGAGTCTTCCTTCATCTTGAGAAAAACAGAATGCTCCTGCTTTCAGCCCCGTTATTGGGGGCGGGGGTGGGGTGGCACTGGCAATCTGTCCCGAGGTCTTCTGGATATAGTTGTTTCCAAGTTGTTAGCTATCATTGTTAGACAATGATACAATGTACACACACTTTTGAGCAAATGTATGTAAGAGCATGTTTGTGGGATGCGAGTGGAATAGGCCGTTTCATGCATCTTTCATGTCAGTACACATTTTTCAATCTACCTTTCTACTGAGGTGATGTGAGAATGCCTGTTTCTCGTATGTCAATCATGCCGGTGAGCAGCTTTACTTTGTCATCTTGGGAAGCCCACTCTGACTTTAAATCTTTTTTTTTTTTTTTTTTAATTAAATGTTTTTATTTTGGATTGAGTGAAAGTTTACAGGGCACATCATCAGCTTCACATTCAACCATTCATATAGCTTGTGTCATTACATTGATTATTATCCCCTCCATATGTCATCAGTTTACAGTGTTTCTCTCTATCCTCTTTAGCTTTTTTTTTTTTTGGATGGGGGGTGGGACTTGCCTTTTTGGAATTTACAGTCTCGGCTTTTAGGGAAAGTTTTTACATTTGTCTGTGGATATCCAGGGCTCATGTATGAGATTACTAACAAGCATTACTGAATAATCAGATGAGGGACAATTTGCTATGTCTACTAGGTAGCTAAAGTCTGATCCTCAGAGCCTATGGTTTGGACGGTCAACAACGCTTGGGCCCACAGGGGCTTGACCTCCTGACTGGGTCTGCATGGTATGCATCAGATTCCTCCTTATTTATTGTTTGTTTAAGGGTCTGACTTTAAATCTTCTGGAAGCTTGGATACAATGTCGGTACATGTGTGTCTGTGTGCATGGTGCTTCAGGGTTTCCCAAGGAGCACTGGGTTAAGTGTTGGGCTACTAACTTGCAAGGTAGGTGATTTAAACCCACCAGCCACTCCACGGGAGAAAAGTAGGCTGTCTGCACCCATAAAGAGTTACAGTCTTGGGAACCCTAAGGAGAAGTTCTACTACTTTGTCTTAGAGCATCACTATGTGTTAGAATCCATTTAAGAGCCATCGTTTGGTTTGTTTTTGGTTTAGAGTTCCCAATGTGCACCTGTCAGTTTATGAGACTGAGGTGGCTGGCATGTTGCTGTGGTGCTGCAAGTATACCGCTGGTGTTTCAAATATCACCAGGGTCACCCGTGGTGGACAGGTTTCAGTGAAGCTTCCAGATTAAGACAGACTAGGAAGAAAGTCCTGGAGATCTGCCTCTGAAAATGAGTCATTGAAAAGCCACTTTCTTGGGTCATGTCATTGTAGGAATCTATCAATAGAGGGGGACATCATGTTTGGTAAAACAGAGAGCCAGAGAGGGCAAGGGGGAAACTTGGTGAGTTGTAGTCCCACAAAAATAGCTGAAATGATGACCTTAAACATCCTGGTGAGGACAACAAAGGACTGGACACTGTCCCCTTCTGTTTGGTCACTATGAGTCAGAGTCAATTCAATGGGAGCAATCTCTGAGGGGGAATCAAAAATCTCATGGAAAACTGCCATTATTTTTTAATTCAATTTTTCCATGAACTTCTTGAAGCTCCCTGTCTTAGGCCAAACCAGTGAAACATGAGTCGGGCTGCTAACCTCAAGGTCAGCAGTTTCAAACTACCAGGCGTTTCTGCGGGAGAAAGATGAGGCTTTTTACTCTCATAAAGATTTTGTTGTTGTTGGTGGTGGTGTTAGGCGCCATCGAGTTGTACTGACTCATAGAGACCCTACACACAACAGAACAAAACACTGCCCGATTCTGGGCCAACCTCACAATTGTTGCCACGCTTGAGCCCATTGATGCTGTCACTTTGCCAATCCCTCTCACTGGGGATCTTCCTCTTTTTCTCTGAGCCTCAGCCTTACCAAACATGATATCCTTCTCCAGTGACTGGTCCCTCCTGAACATGTCTCAAGTATGAAAGACTAAGTTTGGCCATCCTGACCTCCAAGGACAGCCTCAGAAATCTTAGGAAGGGTCGCTATGAGTCGGAACCAACTCTACGACACACTACCACCACACCATATATATATATATAGAGAGTGGTTTATTATCAAAGAAATGACATAATTGCAGTGGAAGAGAGGGAGAAAGTCCCTCCTGTGTGTCCACTATATTGGGAGCAGGCCACACCCCCAAGGAAGCATCCCTTCAATTGATTGGCTGCTCATAGTTACTCATCATACTCTAATACTCTGCCTGTATTAGGTTTCATCACCATGGCAATAAGCACATCCCAACAGCCAAACCTCTGGAGATCCTGGCCTAGTCAAGTTGACACACAACCCTCACCATAACACCCCCTCATATTTCTATCTTAGTCATTTCAAACTGTTTCCATGTGTTGGATTCTTAAAAAGTCTCATGAGCGTGACTGATCCACTTTTTATAGACAAGGAGAGAGAAGAGTTACATGATTTTCTCAGTGTGAGAAATTTAGATGAAATTAGAATGCACATTTCTTGTGTGTCCTCCCCCCAGCCCCCTTGCTATTCAAGTTGTTGCCCAGAAACCTCAGCCCTGCCCCCTGCAGAACACACAGAGTCAGACCTGCATTTTAGCAAGCTCCTGGTGAGGACCACTGCCCTGGGCCCCAGCTCTGAGGTGGGCAGACTGAATTATTCTCCTCAGGGAGGAGTTGACAGATGGTGGGAAAGGGGACCAGCCAGGACGAGTCAAAGGTCTGTAGGATTCTGGCAGGAACAGACCCACAGTGAACTGAGCAATGGGGAGCTATGTCCCAGCACAACCAGCCCTACCCTTTCTCTCTGCCTTTCTTTACCAGTGCCACCCCTGCCCACCAGACACTCTAGTGTTCTCATTGTGCTAGGACAGGAGGCTAGGCACTGACCCGTGACTCCAGTGAGGCCCGTCTGAGAGGAATGTCCACAATGCTGTCATTTCCTTGGTCCCTAGCCAAGGTGTCTATCAGGTGTTTCTAGACTCTGCCCTGGATGCAGAATCCTGAACGATTATGTGAGTTCTTCTACAAAAGGTTTCTGACCCCAGCCTAGGTCAGAATCCAGGAAGACAGGCCTCCCTGCCATGACTTCACTTCTAAACCCTCCACCTGCCCTGGTCACTGCCATCCCAGACACCTGAGAAGGAGCTCTGGCAGTGTGGTGGTTAAGTGCCTGGCTGCTAACTCACAGGTTGGCAGTTTGAACCCACCGATAGCTCCTCAGGAGAACAGATGATCTCCTCTGTTACATGGGATCACTCTGAGTGTAACCCGCCTTTTCTGACTGTGACTTCACTCAAGCCCCCTTGCGTGGCTGAGCTCCAATTTCCTCATTGGTCAACACAGTTTGTTGTTAGATGTTAAGCTGATTCTGACTCCACATGTGCAGAGCAGACCTGCTAACTGGCTCTCCAAGGCTGGGACCTTTAGGAAGCAGGTCTCCAGGCCTGTGGGCTAAGGCACCGTTGGATGGGTTTGAACTGCCAACTTCTGATGACGCAATGGTGAAGTGCTAGGCTGTCAAGTGAGAGATTGTTGTTGTTGTTGTTATGTGCCATCGAGTCGACTCTAAACAGCTCCCTACATAGCCTGACACACAGGGCTGGCTCAATAATGGTGTCTTTGCAGCTGTAGCCCTGACTGTCAGTAATCATAGTTGCATGAGTGTTTGTGGGGTGGGAATGAGGAAGACACTGGAAATGAGGTGGCCTCTCTCTCTCTTTGCCTTTCTCCTCACAGGCTGCAGCCTCTGCATTTGTATTCTGTGTGCTTGCTGGGCGGACTCTTCCCCCTTGTCCCCTGGGGCCCCATCTGGGAGGTGGCCAAGCTCCACTTGGACAATTGTCGGCGAACCTGGTGGACCAACCTGCTACTGCTCAACAACCTCCTCTCGGTTCAGGACGGGGTGAGTCTCCAGCGCCACGAGGGGGCGCGTCTCTTCACGAGGGTCGGCCACTTCCGGAGGCCAGCCTGATTTAGGATTCTTTTCTCTGGCACATTCTCTGGAATCATTTTTTGTTGTTGTTGTTGTTGAATATAGATTTTATTTTGTTGTTGTGTTGAGAACATACACAACAAAACAAACACCAATTCCACATTTACGTACATTTCTACACGTACAATTCCGTGACGTTGGTGACGGTTCTTGAGTTCTGACACCGTTCTCATCCTCCTTTTCTGAGCTGTTCCTCCCATGAACACAAATGCACTTCCCCCTAAAGTTCCCAGTCTCATCTTTCCAGTTGCCGTTGTCACTTTGGTCTCATATTGTTGTTGTTATGTGCTGTGTGCAGTCGGTTCCGACTCATAGCGACCCTGTACAGGGTTTCCAAGGCTGTAAATCTTTACGGGAGCAGAAAGTCTCATCTTTCTCCCACGGAACAGCTGATAGTTTCGAACTGTTGACCTCAAGATTAGCAGCCCGATCCTTAACCACTACGCTACCAGAGCTCCTTTGGTCCCATATATGGATCTTAAAAGAGGCATCTTAAAAGTGCTCAGGGCAGATTCTTTTTGCTAGTGAAGCTAAACGATTGTAGCGTAGTGGTTACGAGTTGGGCTGCTAACCTCAAGGTCAGCAGTTCGAAACTACCAGTTGTTCTGTGAGAGAAAAATGAGGTTTTCTGCTCCTGTAAATGTTTATAGCCTCGGAAACCTCTATGTAGGTTGGCTATGAGTCGGAACTGACTCCACGGCACACCACCACCACCATTGTTTGTGTTAAGAAGACTTCAGAAGATACTTTTGACTTGAGGTTTAATGATCATTTCAGGGCAACAGTTTCAGGGGTTTACCTACCTTCATGGCTCCCCAAAGTCTGGAATTCATGAGAATTTGGAATTCTGTTCTGCAATGCTCTCCCTTTTGATGAGGATTGTGCTATAAACTCTTTGATCAAATGCTCAGTAATGGTAGCCGGGCACCAGAGGCAGTTGCTCATCTGGAGTAATTCTGATGGTATAGGATTGTGGTTGTGGGCAAGAAACCCAGCCTCTTGTGATAGGTGATTGTTACCATGCCGGTCTGCACCAGGGCAGTAGCTCTGAAAAGCAGAGGGCCACCTTTTAGGTTTCTGTGCCAGTCCTTGATGCTCCACAGGGAAAGGGCACTTCCTGCCCTTTGTGCAGAGAGACTGTAATGGATGGAGCATCTTACCCACCCCATCTTCACTTCATTTCAAGCCAGGCCTTGGCTCAGAGCAATAAGCTCTGTCTCTTTTCCCAAAGCCCCATGTTTCTTATAGTGAATTTGGAGGGGAATGAAAAGTGAAACAAAACCAGTTACCGTTGAGTTGACACGTCAGAGTAGAACTGTGTTCCTAGGGTTTCAAGTGGATGATGTTTCATAAGTTGGTTGCCAGGCCTTTCTTCTGAGGTGCCTTTGGGTTGACTCCAACCTCTCAGTTAGCAGCTCACTTTTTGCACCACCCAGGGACTCTGAAAGGGAAAATGCTGTCCTGGCATCACATCGCTGCTTCTACATGTACAACCTCATGTGAAGGGAGTCAGTGAAGTGTGGCAGGTCCCCGATTGTCACACAGAACCACTTGATGAACAGCTACCTGCTGTTCCCAAATGCCCAGGAGTATCACCATCCAACTGCCTTCACTGGGGCTGGCTTCATAGTCTGAGCTGTTAGTGGACACTGATGTTAAGGATCGCAGGTGAAGTCCACCTTAAAAAACAAAACTAATCATAAGCAGCTGCCCTTGAATCAATCCCACCCATGATGACCCTGAGCATGGCGCCCCCATGTGTGTCTGAACAGAACTGTGCCCTGCAGGGTTTTCAGTGGTTGCTTATTTCAGAAGTAGATCACCAGACATTTCCTCGGAAGCACCACTGGATAGACTTAAACCGACAACCGTGTTGGTTAGCAGCCAGATGTTTAACGATGTGCACCCTGGGGACTCAGAAGCACTCGCACCAGGAGACTTTCTCTCCCACGAAGAACCAACTTGTTCCCACTGTTGATAGGTCTGGTTTCCCTCAGATGGGGAAGGTGGGGGAGAAACCAGGGTGCATCTGGAGAATTCTCAGTGTTGAAAAAAACAAAAGGCAGATAACTGGCTCCTAAAACTCTAGCCCAGCCGTCCCTTGGAATGACTTGACTTTGTCAGTGTGTGTAGTAGTTGGGGGTGTCGTGTGTAGGAGTTTGGGGGCTTCACACAGAAGCTGATCTAGAGTCAGGCTGTAGTTCTAAAGGAACATTCTCTCCAGCTGGAATTGGGGGAGGGCAGGCTGGGAAAAGAGATCTGCACGGAGCACTCTCATTCCCAACTGCATTCAGGACGCTAATCCCTGACATTCATATAATGTGGTATCATTTACTTCCCACAACTAGGGATCGCTATCCTAGGGGATTAGCCATGATTTAAAAATAATTTATTGTCATAAAATATACACTACATCCACTTACCATTTTAACCATTTCAAGTGTACAATTCAGTGGCATTCAGCCAATTCACCATGTGCGTACCCATCAGCGCTATTTGTTTACAGAACTTTTTAATCCCCCCCAAACGGAATCTCTGCTCCCATTAAACAATAACTCCCCATCGCAACCCCAGCCTCCTACTGTTGTCGTTAAGTGTTGTCAAGTTGGTTCTGACGCTATAGAGTTTCCAAGGCTATAAATCTTTGTGGGAAGACAAAGCCTCATTTTTCTCCCTCGGAGCGACTGGTGGGCTCCAACTGTTGATCTTGTGGTTCACATCCCAGTGCTTATCCAGCAGAGCCACCATGCCACACTCCCCATCTCAGCCTCTGGTAACCACAATTTTACTTTCTGGCTCTGGCGATCAGTGCTTTTTTGTGTTTGTTATGTCTGAGGTCTGAATCTTCATTTTGTAAAGTGGCAGCAGGGGCATATCCCAGGCTGGTCATAAGGAATGGATAAGATGAGGTGTGAAGCTGTCTGACCCAAGGGTCCTCAGACTTCCCTCCTCTTCCCACTGAGGTCCACCCCACCCGTCTACTGAATTCTTCTCCTGCTCAGGGAAGGTGAGTTGATGGGTGTCCACCTGGTACATGAAGAAGCCCATTCACCTTTCTTCTCTCCTTTCAGTGCAATGGCTGGACATGGTACCTTGCCAATGACTTCCAGTTCCATCTCCTAACACCAGCCATTGTCCTCATCTACAAGAAGTAAGTCTATGGGGGACAAGCTTTCTCCCCACGCGGCCTCTTTCAGAAAACGCCTAGGAAAGGTTCTAGTCTTTAAGAATTGGGAAATGAACTTTCTAGAAGAGTCAGCAGAGAATCCTCCACTCTTTAGCTTCTTCCATGTGTTCATCCCACTTGGTGGCACGCACGTCAGCTTGTGTTTGTGTAGTTGTCATCATCATTGGCATGTTTGCATTCTCCCAGGCTCAGCACTTCCCAGTGAACGGTTCTGATAAACATTTCCATGTGTTGACTTACCTCAGTGCTTGTTGGTTTGAGGACCCAGAGACCATTTTTATGGTTGGGCATCCAGATTGTTGCCAAGTTTTCAAGATTAGATATGGCCCCTGAAATGAATGTCTCTGAATGCACTGGTTTCTTTCTGTTACTTCCTTGGGGTGGGAGTTTCCAAGTGACATGACTGGGTTAGAAGGTCAAAGCAATTTTGTGGTGCCTGCTACATGGAAAGTGATTGGTTTTTCGGAAAGAAGGGAGTCCTTGACAGCAACCCCCAGCCTGGCGTCCTCACACTGAATATTTGTCCCTTTCATTTTTATTAGTTTTAGCAGAGCTTTAAGGTTTCAATAATTCATGGAGAGAGGTATAGTTCGTGGATTATCCATGCCATATTTACAAGGTGTATTATTCTTTATTAAAAATTTAAAAACATGTTCAATTTCAGAAATTTTGGAGGGAAGAGGGGAAAACAGTCCTGTCCTATCTCTGAAAGCCAAAACCAAAATCACTGTCATCGAGTCGATGCTGACTCAGAGTGACCCTGAATAAGGTTTCTGAGGCTGTAAATCTTTATGTGAACAGATTATGTAAATCTTTCTCCCCAGACTTGTCCCATTGCTCAAGGGTAAGTGAAATCACTGTTCATATTTTGGTCCTTGCTCCTCAGAACTCTTTTCTGCATACTTTTAAACACAGGAAAACATTCTGTATACTCCCTTTAGTATTTTTCTTCTAATAGTTTTATGACCTAAGCATTTCCATATATTTAAATTTTAACATTTCCATATATTTAAGAATTAATATAATGTATGCATATCATTTCATCCCACGAATGAACTACAGTTTACATTCATCTTCCTCCATTATCAAATACTTGGATGGTGTCCCATTTTATGGTTTTCTAAAAAGAATGATCTGATAAATATTTCATGGTAACCATCCATTTTCAACTCTGATCTTTTTTTTTTAGAATACCTATTTGTGAGAGGAATTGCTAGGTCAAAGGGTATGAATGTCTTGGACTTTTGAATCACAATGACAAATTGTTTTCCTTTAAGGTTCTACCAACATTCAGCCCCTCAAGTCCTGGTGTGGCGCTGTGGGTTAATGTGCCAGACTGTAAAGCCGTTTGAACTGCAAAGCTCCCCAGCTGCTCCTCAGAAACCCTGTATAGGGTCGCTATGGGTCGGAACTGACTCGATGGCACTTCACAACAACAACAACAGTCATCTAATGGAGTCCTGGTGTGGCGCTGTGGGTTAATGCACTGGACTGCAAAGTCTATTTGAACCGCATGGTCAGTGGTTCAAACTCACCAGCTGCTCCTTGGAAACCCTATGCAGGGTGGCTATGAATTGGAACCAACTTGATGACACTTTACAGCAAGAATAGCTATCTAATGCCAATATAGAACATTAATAACAAAACACAACAAAAGCATTTTGTTGTTAATTTTTTATAGATCTTATTAATTTTGTTCTTGTTAATGTTGTTGTTGTTGTTAAGTACCGTGGAGTCGATTCCAACTCATAGTGACCCTGCACAGGGTTGCTAAGGCTGTAAATCTTTATAGGAGCAGAAAGCCTCATCTTTCTCCCGCGGAGCAGCTGGTAGTTTCGAACTGCCGACCTTGAGGTTAGCAGCCCGATTTGTAACCACTACTCTACCAGAGCTCCTTTGTTGAGAATATGCACAGCAAAACATTCACCAATTGAAACGTTTTGGTGTGTACAATCCCAGACTTGGGTTGCGTTCTTCGAGTTGTGCAACCACCCTAACATTTTCTGAGCTGACCCTCCCTTATTAACATCAACTTATTGCCCCAAAGACCTGATCTCATCTTGGGAGAGATTCCGGGTGTGGTGCTGTGGGATAATGCACGGGACCAAAAGGTTGATTTGAAATGTAAGGTCTGTGGTTCAAATTTACCAGCCGCTCCTTGGAAACCCTATACAGGGTTGCTATGAGTTGGAACCAACTTGAAGGCACTTAACAACATTCCTTGGAAAATTGCTGCTTGTCAGTTTGATCCAATATAGAAAATTCTTAAGAGAACACAATGCTCAAAGCAGACATTCTTTATTAGATACTGCAGGGGAAAGCTGTTGCATGCCCAGTGTGACTTCTGCCTAGTAAACTTGTCCAGTTTGTACACCAGCTTCTGTGGACCTTCCTGCTCCACTGAGGGTCCCCTCAGAGGTGCGTCCAGGTCCTGGCCTTAGTTCCCCTCTGAAAGTCCCTCTCACAAGGTTGGGTGCAGAGCAGACCTCAGCGAAGCGCAGCCAGTCTGGCGGTGTCTGTCCTTCTTGTTTGCTCAGCTTTTCTTATACATTTCCTGTTTCACAGAGTCTGAACTCTGTCTCCTCTAAGAGGGGAGAGTGGAGATGCTGAACGATTTCACAGTCTAGGGGCGTCTCATGTCTCAGCCAGTTGAGGGGTGGAGCTGAAGTCCAAGTGCTTCCCCTGCAAGTCCCCCTAAAACAGAGTACCCTTATTTCATGTTCTGTTTCCTCAGGGCATGGGGGTGGTGGTGGATTTTCACTCGCATAATCACTTATCAAAGATTATGAGATTAATTATAGACCTGACAAATGCACAGTGTCAAAATTCTATTTATTTGGGGAATCAAGGTTTTCTTTTTTAAAGGGTGCATGCCTTTTATAGAAACAGCACCTATCTTTATACCCTTGTTATATTCACCCCTGCTCCTTCTCATTCCTGAGGAAGACACCGGGAGGAGCTGGAACCCAGAGGACCCCTCCCCTTGCCCAGCAGGAAGCAAATGCAGGTGCCTTGGGGAGAGTGAGCCACACCCCCCCCCCCAGTCCCTTTGGATCAGAAAGGAGTTCCCAGAGCTACAGCTGAGAGCTGCTGGGGACCCGGGACTCCTCTGGGGGTGAGCACTCCCTCCTTCTCTAAACCTGACCCAGCCCACTACCAGCACAAGGACAAGACTCATAGTGACCCTGGAGGACACAGTAGAATTGCCCTGAGGGTGCTAACTGCCTCCTCTCTTTCCTGCAGAGAGGCTGGTGGGTTCAAACTGCAGATCTTTCAGTTAGCACGGGTGCATTTAAACCTCTGTGCCACCAGGGAACCTTTCTCCTCCCTATATGGGTTGAGGAGCTCGGCTCTGTGGCCACTCAGCTGGCAGCTGACTTCAGAGTGGAGGGTTTGGAGGCAGGAGCAGTGCCAGCAGGTGTGGAGGGACACCTGGGCTAGCCTGGAAGAGCAGAAAGGGCGGGCGAGCCTCGCACTCCCCACAGGGGATCTATGGTGCAGTGACCTGCTGCTGGACACCTGGATCAGGTGTCCATGAAGAATGAGCACCAGGCTGCCTCAGACCAGAGGCACATACCAGCTGTTGCTTTCTTTTCTTGGGCTAGGACCCTTGAGCGGGTCTCTCTCTGAGACTCTACGTGTGTGTGGTAAATACACATGTAACAAAACATTGGCCATTTTAGCATTTTTTACGAAACTCTCTTATATTTTCTTTTGTTGTTATTGTTGAGAAAACACACATCAAAATGGACACAATCCAACACTGTCTACATGTACGATTCAGTGCCCTATCTGCGAATCGCGATAAAGCAAAGTTCAATAAAATGAAATGTGTCTGTAGCTAGTTCTTCAAAGAACACAGTGCTTGAGCCAGACATTTGTTATAACTAGAATTAAACTGTGGTTGGTTTTAGGTAGACTTCATGGAATGTTTTTGGCTTGAGGTTTAAAGATAATCTGATAGCTGTAGTTTGGGGGTTTCATCCAGACTCCATGGATCCAGAAATTCTGGATTCCAAGATGAAGCCTGTTAAGAGAGTGAGAATGGTGAGCAGTGCTTAAAGCTCTGGAACTTTCTTGATCCCATTGTCCTGAGAGCAGTTTCCCCAAAGAGCCTGAGCTGGCCAAGGGAATCTATTTGTACCAGGCTGCTATGCAATGACAAAAAGTCCTAGTGAGCAATCCAGGGGCTCAGGCGGGAACTCCAGGGAAGGGACAGATTGAGGGAGGGTGTCCTACTTTACACCCAGAGCTCCACGTCCTGCTGCCTCTGAACTGCCAGGTTGGATGATTTGTTAGGTTGGTTGTAGCAGGGACAGGACCGGCAAGTGGAGGCTTGTCTGACTCCAGGAAGCAGATGCCAGGGTGGGGCTCAGGCTCCTGGGGATTCCACAAACATTTACATGGTGGATGTGGGTTTTCACTGGATAGTCTGAATGATGGTTTACCACCCACCTAGGACAAAGAGTTCTTGGTGCCTCCGGCTCTAGACCTGGCTGGGAAACTACTTTTCATCCCTGGGGAAGCTGTGACTGGGGAACCTGGCCCTAACGCCAGCATCTTCCCTGGAGACAGTTGTAGAAGGAGGTTTCAGTCCCTGGATATTGCCTGTTCAGTAGCACCGAGCTTTGAAATGGAGGGAGGTGGGAAAGGCAGGCCTTTTTCCTTCAGGAGCCAGCTACTAAGCCAAAGTTGGAGGTTTAAGTTCAACCCAGAAGCACCTAGGAAGAAAGGTCTGGCAATCGACTGCTACAGAACCAGCCATTGAATACCAGATGGAGCACAATTCTACTAACACACATGTTGGGTCGCCCTCTGCGGGAATCCACTGGACAAGCAGTTTGTATTCCTCCGTGCAAGGTCTGGTACTGACGTTCCCTCCTTCCCTGACATTCCTCTCCTACAGGAACTATTTCCTGCACATTCGAGGTATCCTCGAACTAAGACTGTTTAGGAGTTGTGGGAGGAGCAGAATCCTCCTGCCTTGTGCCTGGAGATCTCCTTGTGTTCTCCCTTGTCCCAGCCTACTTCTGACAAGCTCCCTTCTCTCCGGAAATCAACCATCACTTGTGTCTAAACAATGCTTTCCTGGTGACAGAGAACAGTGCGCAGCGTGGTCAGTTTCCGGGGGAGGCAGACGAGGACCACATTCTATCCCCTCTGATGGACGAGGAGATTCTAGTCAAAGGCCCTGTTCCGGGTCCCATGTGTGATCAAGACTAACTGTTAGCACGAGGAGCCCTGGTAGTGAAATGGTTAAGCACTCCTCTGCTAACTGAAATGTCGCTGGCTCGAACCCACCCTTGGGTTCTCTTCCTGTGGAGATGACAGCCTTGGAAACCCCGTGGGGCAGTTCTGCTCTGTCCTGGAGGGTCCACTATGTGTCAGAATCGATTGGATGGCACACGACAACAACAAATGCTAACTCAAGTACCTCAACCCTTTCCTCACCTACAACAACTGCCCCTCACACCTCAAGAACAAAAACACAAACACAAACCAAACCAACCCATCCCAGTTCCCACCAAATCAATTGTCACTCATGTTGACCCCACATGTGTGTGCCAGAGTAGAACTGTGCTCCAGGATTTCCAATGACTGATTGTTCGAGATTACCAGGCTTTTCTTCCTGAGCACCTCTGGGTGGGTGGACTCAAATAGCCAACGTTTTTAGTTAAGCAGCGGAGCATGTTAACTGTTTGTACCACACACACAGCAGCCTCTCAGGAGCAGGATTGACTCTCCCGCTGCCATATGCTTCCCAGTCTTTCTCGTTCATAGTCGTGGTGCAGCATTCTGAAGTCTCTCCTTCATCAACATCCTCTTCTCTTCTTTGCAGAAGTAAACTTGCCCTCTTACTCCTCGGAATCACACTGTTCTTGGCGACGTTCACCACCACGGCTCTGCTCACACTGGTTTACCAGCTTCCGGTTGCAGCGCCATCAGAAGCCAGGTGACCACAGTGCTCAGCCCTGTTTCTGTCCCTCATCTGCCCTCAGAATGGCAGGACCGCTGCTCATTTGCTTGGTGCGCATCTATCTCCTGTGGGGGAACCCGGCTAGGGAATTTTTCATCCCGGATGGGAATTGGGAATGTCTATTGCATTTTTGTTTCCAAACTCTGAACCTTCTTTGAACTCGCACTGTCATCTCTGGGTGAAGGCGTCTCAGAGGGCGGAGCGCCCCCATGTGGCCACAGTAGACTTCTCCTCCAGTGGCAAAACTTCTGGGAAAATCTGTTATTGGATTGTTGTTGTTAAGTGAGGTCGAGTAGGTTCCGACCCATAGCGACCCTGTAGAGGGTTTCTAAGGAGCATCTGCTGAGCTTGAACTGCCGACCTTGCAGTTCAAACAGCTTTGCAGTCTGACGCATTAGCCCACAGCGCCACACACTGAAATTTAAGGAAATCTATCGGGGTTACTTTCTTCAAGGTCTCACAGCTAGTAAGTGGCCTAGCTGTGGTTTGAACTTAGGACTTTACTCATAATGTGACTTTACCTCCTCAGTGAGGTAGGTTTGGCATTTCTTCCATAAACCCATCCTGTGTCTTCACAGACAAGCCTGGTTGCATTCTTGTTAATCTGTTCTTAACACAATAGCCAGTGAGATTCAAATGCAACTCAGTCCTGTCAGACATCTGCTCAGTGGCTGGCCACTGCTGTTAAAATGAACCCTGTTCAGCCACACTGATCTCCTTACCTCAACACACTCAGCACATCCCCAACCTCAGGGCCTTTGCACTAGCTGTTCCCTCCACTGGGGATACTTTTCCTTCAGGTCCTACCATCTTGACAGGACTTGCTTCTTCATGTCTTTCAGGTATCTGTTCAAACATCACGTTCTCAAAACAACCTCATTAACCTTCTGTAAGAACAGCCTCAGGTTCTCTTGCATCTTTATTCTGCTTTCTTTTTCCTCTCACTCCTTTGCCACTTTTTTCATGTAGTGGTTAATGTTTGTCATCATCTTCAATTAGAAGGTCAATTCCATAAGCCTGAACACTTGGTTTTGTTCTTTGCTGAATTCCAAGGGCTCATAACAGAGCTGGGTGCATAAATGCTCAGTACCAAGGATCTTCAAAAAGTTTGTGGAAAAATGGGATAAAAAGAGAATGGAATTTTTCCCTGTGAATTTTTTGATGCCCCGATATATTTGTGAGTGGATGGAATGCCTCCATCCCACGTCTCCTGACCTACTCATCTTTTAATTTTTTAAATTTTTATTGTGAACTGAGTGATAGTTTACATGGGAGAATATTGGGTTTATACTCATCCTATTTTAATGATTACAGTCCCCACCGTGCATCCTCATTCAACAGTATTTGCTTCTATTCCCTCTGTCTTTTGGTTTTTGTTTTTGAATGTACACAAAAACACTCAGGAATATATAATCTTTTAAACAACCAAAGGGCACATTCTACAAGCCTGCCTCCTGGCCACAGCACACAGCCTTTCTATTTCCATGAGTCTGGAGTCCTCAGCTGCTCCCTCTCTCCATGTCCTCATCTCTGCCTCCATCTCTGGTGTTGCTGCTTCTCTGGATAAGACCCCACATTCCACACCTGCTCTTCTCCCTTGATTGTCCTAGGATCCTCTGTTTTTGGACTGTAAGATTAACTATTCCCTTTTTTTGTTACAAAACGTCTACCTTTACAGTTGGAAAGTTGCAATTAGTCATGATAACAATTATTCACTATTGAATCATAAGAATCTTATCCCCATCTTTTTTCACGATGCCCATCTAGACAAGATGAATTCTATTCAGTGGGGATTCTACCTTACCCTGAACATTCTTAAACTAAACTCCCTCTTGAAAACCTGTAAGCCAGTCACTTTGTGCCTTTATTGCCCTCTGCCCCCATTTTACATAGTCATTGTCCAAGTTGCCCATCCCGTTCAACCCTGTGTACAGAGCGGATAGGATTGCTTCTTGATATCAACATTCCTTTCCTTTCAGTTGGTATTTTGAGCTGAGCTACTACATCCATAAGTATAGGTCAAGTTCCTCAAATTGCAGCAATGTACACTTGTTTCCTTTATCAAAAATTTTTTTATCTTCCTCTTTTCGAGTTCGATCATGAAACCATTGAAGCTAGGTTGCCGGGGACTGGCCTCGACATAGGGGTTCGGTTCACGAGGAGGAGATACCTGGCGGCGGTTAAGATATACACAGACAGACAGAAGGAGGGGGACAATGAGGCACCCCAAAGCCAGGGTGGATACATCACTGGTGGGCAGGCTTGGGAGTACAAGCATCGTGGCCTCTGCAGGCAGCAACTCACTGCCCTGCAATCTTTACTGCATGCCCTCCATCTTGTAATGCACTGCAATCTTTACTGCATGCCTTCCAACCCGTAATGCACTGCAATCTTTACTGCATGCCCTCCAACCTGTAATGCACACCTGGGGAGGCCCGGGCCTCTGTTTTATTTAGGGGAGGAGCTTCACACCAAGCTGGGAAGGACTTAGGCAAGGTACAGCTAACATCAGGACTTTTCCAGACATTCAGGTAACTTTACATCGTACTTCGCTGATTTGAATCCCAGGCCCGCAACTTGGTTTCACAGGCTCAATTAACATATCTATAGCCCCTGAGCTCAATTGGGAGAAGGTGAGAGGTAAGGACAAAAGCTTGGGCGGAGTCCCACTGCTTCAGCTTCCTGAGCCAGGTTTTCAGGAACTTGGCTGAATAGCTAACACTTGGGAGAGATTCAGGGTGGATGGCTTTTTTGTCTGTGGAACAAAGAACTGTGAAGTAGCTAAGATGTTTTTAGTTAATCCTTTGGAGAAAGGCTTGATCTTGCAACTTTTACAGTCTGGGCTTTTAGGAAAAGATCACATTTATCTGTGGATTATCAAGGGCTCCTTGTCTGCAATTAATAAATATAACTGAACACTAAGATGAAAAACAATTTGCTATTGACTGCCAGTGGCCTCATTTGTTACACTCGGACCTATAGGGCCTCGAACCTCTGACCAAGCTTACACAGTCTGCAACACTAGGTCAAATGGGTACTATCTGCAAGTTTGGGTGTTCTTGTGTGTCTCCCCTCACTTCATATCAGCTACATGGTTCGCTTTCAGCGCAAGCCCTCTGGGGCTATGTCCTTGTCCCTGGACTCAGGAGTTTACTGACCTACTCATCTTGTGGTCTTCCTTTGGGACATGTCCTGATGGCTCAGTCCTGTCTAGCCCACTTCAGGAATGTGCTCTTTCCCATGTCTAGAATGAACATAACTAGTTGCTTTTTTCCCTTTGTTGTTTGTTTGTTTGTTTGTTTTCAGTGAAACTGTGATGGTGCTGTATTTCCTGAAGTATTATACCAAGCCCTACTGTCGATTTGGACCATTCCTCTTGGGCCTTCTTTTGAGTATTTTCATGTACCAAAACCAGCAGACGAATATTCTGAAGACCCAGGTATGGCTCCCCATTAAGGGTCCGGGTCTGGAGGGAAAGATGTGGCCCACCTGATTGGGTACTTCCAAAGCCATGGGCAGGAGAAGTCACACTACACTGTGATGTTGATGCCTCTTGTTGTTGTTGTTAGGTGCCGTCAAGTTGGTTCAGACTTATAGGGACTTCATGCACAACAAAACGAAATGCCGTCCAGCCTTGTGCCATCCTCACAATTGTGACGTTTGAGCCCATTGCTGTGGCTACTGTGCTAATCTATCTCGTTGTGAATCTTCCTTTTTTTTTTGCTGATTCTATACTTTGCCACGTATGGCGTCCTTTTCTGGGGACTGGGCCCTCCTGACAAACGTGTTCAAAGTACGTGAGACGAAGGTTTGCTCTACCCTCTCTTCCAGGGAATATTCTGGCTGTACTTTTTCTAAGACAGATTTGTGTGTTCTTTTGACAGTACATGTACTTTTAATTTTCTTCTCCAACACCACAATTCCTCTCTGGTCTTGCTTATTCACTGTCCAGTTTTTGCATGCATATGAGGCAACTGGAAAGACTCTGATTTGAGACAGGCACACCCTTTCTTAGTACTGAAACACTTTACTGTGGGACTTCGCCCTGGAGGGTTCTTCACTGAGCTGAGCTTGTCCTCATCTTACCACGATTTCTATCATTACGTGTCCGCCAGGAGGGCCAGGGGCTGTACATCTTCTCATTTCTGCTGGGGCTTGAAACCAACAGGGAGCCTTGTTTCCTTAAGAGAGAAACTGGGGAGAGCAAGAGTGGGTTTGAATGATTATCTGGCAGGGGATGGGGCTTCAAAAAGTTTGTGGGAAAATTCCATGATCTTTCTATTGTATTTGTCCTCAAACCTTTTGATGGCCCTCCTCATAGATTCATCAGAAGGTGCAAAAATAGTTCAGAGAGGTCCCAGAGACTCCTCACCCTGTTCACCCCCTTGGAAACCTCTTATGTAGGATGGATGGTCCATGATCACAGCCAGGAAGCTGGTGGTAAAGTGCAATCAGGGTTGACCTGTTTACATGTTGTTTGGTTTCAGGGAAAAGGCTTTTGAGTACAAAGGTGCTGAGAGACCCGAACAACCACCAGAACGCATTCTGAGACATGAATTTATTACAGAAAGAGAATAAAAGAGATGGTTTATTGACAAGGAATTTACCTACAAAGGGCTAACCTCAGCTGTCTCCAGTGGGCAGGGGCTAGGGTCTTTTTCTTCTCATGGGGTATTCACAAGGGAATCCTGGTGTGGTGCTGTAGGATAAAGCACTGGACCACAAGGTCGGCTTGAACAGCAAAGTCTGTGGTTCAAACCTACCAGCTGCTTCTTGGAAACCCTATACAGGGTCGCTATGAGTCGGAATTGACTCCATGGCACTTAACAACAACAACATTCACAAAGGAAAGGGCAGTTAAGAGTGGTCTGTGGAAGTAGGAGAGGCAGGAGAGTCAAAAGTGCCAGGTTGTCTGTCCCCTTCTAGAGAAGAACTAAGGCGTTTCGGCCAGCACAGTGGGAGGAAGGGCTGTGGGCTCCCTCTTAGCGTCCGCATAACTGGACCAGGAGAACAAGAGAGCAGGGGGTGGGGGTGGCGGTCTGCACCCTCCTAGATAGCAGGAGCAGGGGGACAGGAGATATGGTTTTGAGATGACCTTTGTTACTGGACAAAAGTTCAACTGCCCCAGCTGCTGTAGCCAGTATCAGAGACAGGGTGAGAATCAAGATCCATTTTATTGACAGAGCTGGAAGGCAGTGAGAATCCTTCTCTGAAAGACAGCCTTGCCCTCCCCAGTAAAATGTGTGAACTCTTAGACGACTCTAGGTACCAATCAGTCTGCATCGGTGCATGCTTGTCTCCGAGTTTTATGGCTCTGTCATCTGGGGAAACAGTTTCTGTCCCACTGAGTCACCATGTCTTACATCCTAGGATGTGATTGCCCCAAACAATGTTAATGGCCTTTGTCTGAAAGTTACATTTTTCTAAGGGACGAGAGAGCGTGGCCCTGAGATATTTCTTCCAGCTTGTCCTAGGTTTAAATCAATAACGTGACCCTAAACCCTTAGCCTGTATGTTCCTGGAGCATAGGGGGAAGGTTAGTCAGGGCAGTTATGACTGGGAACAATGATTAAAAGGGCTTGAACAGAGAGGGAAGAAAACTTACTAAAAACGATTCTCTCAATTTTGGAGTGTTAAGTTTGTGTCCCTACACATGCCCTCATTGTGTGTGCAAGGAGTCCCTGAGTAAAATACCAGACTACAAACCAAAAACATTGGGGGTTTGAACTCGCCAGAAGCACCGCAGAAATAAGACCTGGAGATCTGCTTCTGAAAGGTCACCCGCAGCCTTGAAGACCCTGAGGCACAGTTTACTCTGTGCACATGGGGTTGCCATGGGTTGGAATCGGCTTGACAGCAATACCACCAACACCATTGTGGATATGTGTCATTGTGTGTGTGTGGTTGTGTTGTTGTTGTTGTTTATGTGCTGTCGAGTCGGTTCTGGCCCATAGCGACCCTGTACAGGGTTTCCAAGGCTGTAAATCTTTACGGGAGCAGAAAGCCTCCTCTTTCTCCGGTGGAGCAGCTGGTAGTTTCAAACTGCTGACCTTAAGGGTCACAGCCCAATTTGTAACCACTACGCTACCAGAGCTCCTGTGTGGTTGTGTGGCCACCACTTAAATCAAGGTGGAGAACAATGACTTTACCACAAAGATCTGTTAGGTGCCACCTACTCTCTGACATGAGAGTCACCATGGGTTGGAATCGCCTTGACGGCCCCAAACTACAATAAGCTTTGATGGTCTCATTGTCCCCAGCCCTATCCTGTCCTGAACTCCTGGTAACCACAAATCTGAGCTTCCTATTTTAGTCAGATTTGGGCATTGGCGACCTGAAGTGACAGTAATAACACAGAAAGTAAGTTTGTGCAAGCAAAGCTCCCCAAACCCACTGTCATCGAGATGATTCTGACTCATAACAACCTTATATAGGGTTTCTGAGACTGTAAACTTTACAGAAGCAGATAGCCTCATCTTTCTTGTGCAGAGCAGCTGGTGGGTTTGAACCACTGACTTTGTGGTTAGCAGCCTGAAGCCTAAACCACAGCGCCACCAGGGCTCCTTTTAATTTGTGCAAAAAGAAGTAAATGCATGAGGGCGGAAATGGGCATCAAATCTGCCCCTCCAGGTGCAGGTTCTGCTGGGGTGGACTTCTGCCCTGTTGGCCCTCTTCACAGTAGTCGCGCTGGCCTATGTGGTGGACGACGCCTCTGACAGGACTTCAGCTGCTGCCGCAGCCTACCAAGCACTGCACCGGACATTATGGGCAGCGGCCGTGGGCTGGCTCATCTTGGCGTGTCAGGAGGGCCATGGAGGTATTGGCATAGCTACTATGCATAAACATGGTTCCATTAAAAGTGAAGGGTGTGAAAATACAAAGTGTACCCATAGGGGCTTTGCGTTGCTGCAGTGACTGGTGAAAAACTTTTTTTTATCACCTACCAAACCAGCAATTTGTTATATCCTTGGGGGGAAACATCTCACTCACCTGTTACAGATTTTTACTTTGAATTAGGGACAAACGCATGTTCTGGAAATGTTACATACTCTACAGGAAGCTCATTTAGAAGGTGGCAGAGAGCTCAGGCAGGGTAACTTAGTGAGAAAAAAAATCCTGATATGGGGGAAGGAGGGGTAAGAGCTTGATTACAGCCACCCAGACCTCAGTTTCCTCATCTGAAAGCATTAGACCAAGTGATCACCAAGATTCCCTTCAACCCTTTGGTGGTTGGGAAATGATTGAGCCCAGATTTCAGCATGCAGAGAATCAAACAGAACACTAGCTTCAGGGGAAAGAAAGAAACCTTTTCCAGATTGTTGTGGTTAGCAGTTGTTGAGCTGTCACCAAGTAGTGGTGACATTGTCTAGTCCAGGACCTTTATGTTGAGTCCATTGTTGGAGCTTTTGTGTTGAAGTATGTCATTGAGGGTCTCCTGCACATTCACTGACCCCCACTTCACCACATGTGATGTCTTTTCTAGTAAAAGACTTTCTCGATGATGTGTCCAAAGTTATTGAGCTAAAGTCTCACCATCCTTATTTCTAAAGAGTGTCATATTCCTGAAATGGGAAGAGGTCTATTTTATGGTTTTTGTTTTTTTTAAAAATGCTAATGAATATAGACATTCTTAGGAGAATTTCACAGACTTAGGCACGGAACCCGAAGGGGAAAGTGGAGACCCAATGTCTTCTCAGGCTCAGAGAGGGTTTATGTTGTTCCTCCAGGTCTGGTCCAGCGGGTGCTGTCCTGGGGTGTGTGGTCCTTCCTGGCCCGTATTAGTTACGCTTGCTACCTGGTACATCCGATTCTCATTCTCCTCTACAATGGGCTTCAGGAAACCCTCATTCACTACTCAGAGATCAACATGGTGAGAGAACCCAGTTCTAATTCCATTACAGCACCACGATTTGTTCTCTTTTTGAGAAATGAAGTAATAGTAACCTTTTGTTTTTTTTAATAGTCTAATTGTGCAGTTGAATTGTGGGGGAGGGATGAGGGGTGGCTTCAGCACAGGAGACGGTCTTATTGTGAGTGTTTGGGGTAGTTTTTGCTGCAGACCCATTCCAAACGGCCAGGCTGTTACACTTTAAGAGCCAAATGCATGGGAATCTTGGAGTAACTTTGCGTCTACTGTGTCTCTCTTTCCCTCCAGTTCTATCTCTTCTTTGGACACTGCTTACTGACCTTCCTCACTGGGCTGGCTCTGACGCTGTTCATTGAGAAACCATGTCAGGAACTGAAGCAGTGCCTCTTGGGACCAGGGCCTTCAGGGCCGTGACTCATCTGGACAAAACCCCAAGGAGGCATGGTCCTGTTTGTGGTGATGAAGACAGGCAGGGTGACCACATTTAAGTAATGAACACTAGTGTTCCTGAAAGAGGCATAAATCCGACTTTGTGAAAGGAAAACTTAATATGTACAGATTCTATGTGCTTAATATAGAAAAGAATTCTGTGGCAACTTTTTTGGTAGAATAATAACCATCCTTGATTGCATTTTCTATTGCAAAAACAATCTGGAGTTTTTTTTCTTGTTCTGTATTGGATTATATATTTCAACAATCATAGAAAGCATTCAAATGTAGAAAAGTTACTATACTTTTAGGCTAAACACGGGATATAACACTTTTTCCAGTAAAGTCGCTTAAACTGTTGTTAAGTGCTGGGGAGTCAGTTCCGACTCATAGCAACGCTGTATAGGTGAATTTGAACCAACCACCTCGCAGTTCAAACCAACTTTGCAGTTCAGTGTTTATCCTACAGCACCACACCAGGACTCCATAAATTTGTTTTCTATAGTCAGTTAATTATTATGCTTCATAACTTTATCCTGGGACCTCAGGACAATATGACTCATCTGCATGCAGAGCTTTCAAATACTTGTTTTGACATCATGGTCCATCAGCAAAACTCCTCACAATGAAGAAAAAGGTATCAGTCACTGGCTTCTATCCCAACATCCTCATTTTCTAGCAAAATGGTCTAGAGCTGGGGAAACTCTGGATATCCAGGTTTCTGGTCCTGGGTTCTGTCCTAGGAAGATAACTTCCTGTTAACCTCCATACTGTATATGTGTAACATCACTTGTAATAATCTAAGTGTTTATTAACAATCATGATGACCCCAGGTGATTATGAGCACAGAATGTTCCATCCCTGTTCATCGTCTCGGTCTTCAGGTCTACTCCCTCTCAATGACCTCCCTTCTTAAAGGAAGACTTTGGGAAGTAGGGAGGTCAGAAAAGTGACAGCAGCTTTGCCCTGAGCCCTTTTCCCTGATGTCTGCTGTGTTCCTTATGTAGTGCTGCTAAACAGAGACGTCACCAGTGGATGGTTTCAACAAACACATGTACTTTCTCACAGTTACGAGACTAGACGTCCGAATCCAGAGGTGCAGATTCTAAGGGAAGACTTTCCCACTCTGTTGGCTTCGGATGAAGGTCCTTGTCTCTGAACTGTTTGGGGCAGTCTTCATGTGCCTTGGCATCTCTCTTTCTCATCTCTGCTAACTGGCTTGCTTGTTCAATCTATGTCTCAAAAAGAGACTAATTTAAGATACTACACTAATCCTGTCTCATTAACATAAAAAAAGAAACCCTGTTCTCAAATAAGATAACCCTAGGTATAGCAGTTGGTATTTACAACATACATTTCTGGGGGATAAAATTCAATCTATGACATCTGGTTCTCTGCTGTCGGAATCTTTTCCTAGCGTCTTCAGACTTATAAGAAAGCGAGCCACGTCTACTTTTTAGGTAAGGCTGAAGCTCATTGAGTTCCTCAGGCGCCCCCTCGTGGCTGACTCGGCACCTGACCCTCTCACCTAATTAGTCCTCCAAGTGGCATCAATGGAAGAAATATGTATGTTTGGATGGACCCCATGGGAAATCACTCACTCACTCACCTAACACTGCTCCACACTTAAATTTCAAGTGTCCCTACTTATGAGGCTGGAAACCTGCAACCCACGGAAATGGCTTTCCAATTACTTGCGATTGCAGCTTCATAAAACATAGGAGGTAAGTGCTGTCAAGTCAGTTGAGACTCACAGCGAACGTGTATAAATAAGGTTTCTGAGGAGTGACTGGTGAGTTTGAACTGCCGACCTTGTGGTTCAAACCGACCTTGCAGTCCAGCGCATTATCCTGCAGCATCACAGAGAAGTCCAATTTTATCCTGAGTTTTGTTTCAACTCAGTATTTACTGGAGCTTTCTTTTATACTTTTGATCGTGGAGATCTTATTTGAATCCTTAAACAAATGATGAAAAAGTACGCGACGTTTATGAGACAGCTGGATATTGACTACTAGACCAGGTGCTTGAGAATGTTACCCCAATAAACCCAAGCCTATTAGCGTAGTGGTTACGAATTGTGCTGCGAGCCAAAAGGTCAGCAGTTTGAAACTACCAGCTGCTACGCGGGAGAAAGAGGAGGCTTTCTGCTCCCGTAAAGATTTACAGCCTCGGAAACCCTGTACAGGGTCGCTATGGGTGAGAACCGACTCGATGGCACATAACCGTCGAGTTGGTTCTGACTTTATAGGACAACGTAGAACTGCTTCATGTTTGTCACACAGAGCAGCTGGAGGTTGGAACCACTGACCCTTTGGTCATGCCGCTATGCTACCAACCTTCTTGGCAATGTTAGGGACTTTGATATAATAATGGCAATTCCTGGCAATGTTAAGGACTTGAATTTTGATATGATAATTGTAATTTTGGAGTCCTAGTGTGACACTGCCCATTAATACGCTGGACTGCAAGGTCAGCAGTTCAAGCTCACCAGCCGCTCCTCAGAAACCCTGTACAGGGTCGCTGTGTTGGAATTGACTCAACAGCACATAACAACAACAACGATAATTGTGGTTGTGTTTTATAAAAGAGGAATTACCTCTTTGATGAATACTCAAATATGTGAGGAGGAAATAATATAAAATCTGGTACTGGCTTCAAAATACAAAAATCCACTAAGTGATCCTAACAAGGGGGGCTGGGTGCTGGGCACATGGGATTTAATTATACTATTTCCTCTACTTTTGTGTAAGTTTGAAATTTTTGTCATAATAAAGTCAAAGCAAACGTAAAGAGGTAGTGATTTCAGAGCAGAATAAGCAACTATCAGGTGCTTCTTTTTTTAACTTGTGAAATCCATGTTTCCCACCCAGACACCAACCTGTGAGTAACAATACGTTATATCAACAACAAATGACTCTCAGCTGATGTAAAGGAACTTGAAACCCAAACCAAAGGTCATCTCTGCCCCACAGGATCTTCTTTTTCTTTTTTTCTATTAAGTACTACTATCATTGTCTTGTAAGGAGCTCTGGTAGCGTAGTGGTTACAAATCGGCCTATGAACCACAAGGTCAGCAGTTCGAAACTGCCAGCAGTTCCACTTAACAACAACAACATCATTGTCTTGTATTATGGTCACAAATAAACTAGTTAGAAATAAGTATACAGATTTATTGATTGATAAGTACATTGTGGTGAAGATAGACACAAGAAAACATACACAACTCCACCAGCTCTACCTCTATCATTCAGTGACATTGATTACAACTTCCGGTTGTGAGACCATTCCCCTTCTTCCCAATTTTCCCACCACCATTAACAAACTCATTGTCCTCTGGGATAGTTAAGGTTTTGTGTTGAAAGGACCAGGATTCTCAGTGGTTTGGCATTTGAGATGTAACTATTTTCCAGGTTGTGATTTGATGTGATAAACCAATAAGAGGATTCCTTATCCTACAGCGTGGATTTTTTGTTGCTGTTCAGTGCTATCCTGTCGGTTCTGACTCATACTCTATACAGGGTTTCCAAGGAACAGCTGGTAGGTTTGAACTGCCGAGCTTGTGGTTCAAACTAACCTTGCTGTTCAGTGCTTACCCTACAGCACCACACCAAGACTCCAAGGGTAGGATGTTCTTGTTGTTGTAAAGTGTTGTCAAGTTGGTTCCAACCCATAGCGGCCCTGTATAGTTTCTGAGGAGCGGCTGGTGAGCTTGAACTACTGACCTTGTGGTTCAAATGGACGTTGCAGACCAGTGCATTAACCCACCACCTCCCTGATCTGATTCCCAAGGACAGGAGATTCCCAAGGGTGTGGCATGCAGCACCTTTTTGTTTTACAAGAGATAAAAGGAGATTTGAGCAGAGAGAGAGGGACCTATTACCATCCAGATAGAAGAGTCACGAGTAGAGTGTGTCCTTTGGACCTGGAATCCCTGAACTGTGAAGCTCTTAGATCCAGAGGTACTGAGATCTCCAAGGAATTCTGGGTCCACAGATGCTGAAAGGAGACAAAGACCTTTCCCCAGAGCTGACAATCAGAAAGTCTTCTCCCAAAGCCGGCACTCAGAATTTGGACTTCTTTTCTCCTAAACTGAAAATGAATTGCTGGTTGTTAAAACCACCCCCAGGTGTGGCACTGTAGGTTAATGCATCAGACTGCAAAGCTGTTTGAATTGCAAGGTCGGCAGTTCAAGTACAGGGTCCCTATGGATCTTAATCAACTCGAAAGCAGTTAACAACAAAAAAGCCAACCCCTGTGGTACTTTTGTTCTGGCAACATTAGAGAACTAAGACACCCTTTAAACAAAAACTCCCCCTTTTCCTTTTTCTAACCCTGGTCACCACTAATATTTGGTTCTATATATTTGCTTTTTTCTATATTAGTGAGATCAGATACAACTTGTCTTTGAACAACTGACTTCTTTCAGTCTGTGTAATACTTTCAAGGTTCGTCATGCTGTGGTATGCATCAATAACTTTGGTTTTTTGTTTTATTTTTTAATGACTGAATGATAATCCACTTTATGCATACTTCTGTTGCTAAGTGCTGTTGAGTTTGTTCCGACTCATAGCGACCCTGTACAGGGTTTTCGAGGAGCAGCTGGAGGGTTTGAACCGCTGACCTTGTGGTTTGCAGTCTAGAGCTTCTCCTACAACGCCACACCAGGTGTCCTGTATGTGTATAGAATGTGTGTATGCATATACACACTGTATGTGTATATTTTGTTTACCCATTCATCTGTTGATGAACATTTTAGTTGTTGCACCTCCTAACTATTGTGAGAAGCATTGTAATGGACATCGGTGTCCATGGGTCACACGGTTGTTCTATGTTCAACCTTTTGGATGAACACCGAACTGTTTTCCATAGCGACTGTATCACTTTACTTTCCCACCAACATTGGATAAAGGCTCCAGCCACAGTCTAATACCATTTTCCTTTGGCTCCTTGACATTCTAGGGGTTGTAAGGTGGTCCATAGCATTT